GCCATAGATTTACAACCTCAGAAGCCGTATACACTTTAAGTTGTCACCAACTCCATAACACAGCAACAAACTTACAGATACATTTATGTAAAGATACATTAAGTTAAAGATACATTTATATATCTGTAAGTTCTTGTGTGGTACTATAGGATAAGCACTGGATTGATAACCACAAGGTTGGCTGTTCAAACCCACCAGTTGTTGTTGTTAAGTGCCATCGAGTCAATTCCGACCCTAGCGACCCTGTATAGGGTTTCCAAGGAGCAGCTGGTGAGCTTGAACCACCGTCCTTGCAGTTCAAGCGACTTTGCTGTCTGACGCATTAGCGACAGCGCCCACCAGCAGTTCCTCTGAAATCCTATACAGGGTCGCTATGAGTCGGAACCAACTTGAAGCCACTTAGCAACAACAATTGCACTTTACAGACTGTCACCTATTGTAAACACAACTTTCAATAAAAAGCTTTTTATTGTGAATTGAGTGAAGCTTTACAGAGAAAATCATCCGTTTTGCATTCAACAAATCCTACACTTGGTTTCATCTCAATGATGTAAACATAACTTAAAAAAAAAACAAAACATAATAATAATTTAAACCACCAAAGGGCGCATTCTGCAAGCCTACCTCCTGGCCGCCAGCAGCCAGTCCCTCTCTTTCCATGAGTCTAGAGTCCTCAGCTGCTCCCTCTCTCCATGTCCCCATCTCTGCCTCCATCTCTGGTGTCACTGTTTCTCTGGATAAGGTCTCTCATTCCGCTCGTGCTCTTCTCCCTTGATAGCCCTAGGGGCTATAAGATTATAGACTGTAAGATTAACTACTCCCCTGTTTTTGTTACAAAACTTCTACCTTTACAGTTGTAACAGTCGCAGTTAGTCATGATAACAATTACTCACTATTGAATCATAAGAATCTTATCCCCATCTCCTTTCACCAGACCCATCTAGACAGGATGAAAACTGTTCAGTGGGGTCTCTACCTTCCCCCTCTTAAACTAAGCTCCCTGTTGAAAATTTGTAAGCCAGTTACTTCAGTAAACATAACTTTTATATGCACTGGGAAGCCATAACAATTTTTTCTGTCTCAATTTAGGGTGATAGTCACTTTATCGTAGTGGTCTAAAACTGAACCTGCACTATAGCTGAGGTAAGTCAGTTGTTGTTGTTGTTAAGTGCCTTCGAGTCGGTTCCGACCCATAGCGACCCTGTACAGGGTTTCCGAGGGTGTAAATCCTTACGGGAGTAAAAAAGCCTCATCTTTCTCCCGCGGAGCAGCTGGTAGTTTCGAACTGCTGACCTTATGGTTCGCAGCCCGATTTGTAACCACTACGCTACCAGAGCTCCTTGAGGTAAGTCAGTAGTGACTAGTTGTTGTTGTTGTGTGCCATGGAGTCGGTTCTGACTCATAGCAACCCTACACAGGGTTTCCGAGGCTGTAAATCTTTACAGGAGCAGAAAGCCTCATCTTTCCCCATGGAACAGCTGGTAGTTTCGAACTGCTGACCTTGTGGCTTGCAGCCCGATTTGTAACCACTACGCTAGTACCAGTATTTAAAAACCAAAAAACCAGCTGCCATCAAGGTACGCACATACACCCCTACCTGGACATAGGTGTGGTAGGTAGAATCATGCCCCCCCCCATAGATGCATCTGTTATAATCCCCAGAGCCCATGAATATGTTACCTTTTTGGGGTGTCATTAAGTTAAGGATTTTGGGTGGGGATGCTGACCACCAAAACCAAACTCACTGCTCCTCCAGTTGATTCTGACTCACCCACAGAGTAGAACTGGCCCACAGCGCCTCCAAGGATGTGATCTTTCAGGAAACAGACAGCCACATCTTTTGGTTAGCAGTCCAACACGTAACCAATGGTGCCACCAGGAGTCCTTGTAAGATAGTCAATATGTTATTTTATTGTTGTAAATATATATATAACACAACACTTGCAAATTCAATGTTTTTCACATGTACAATTAATTACTATCAGTTACATTCACCTGTGTTATTGTTATTAAATGTCTTTGAGTCCGTTCTGACTCATAGTGACCCTAAATAGGGTTTCCAAGGAGCCGTTAAGGAGCTCTGGTAGCGTAATGGTTATGAATTGGGCTGCTAATCTGAAGGTCAGCAGTTCGAAACTATCCGCGGTTCCACAGGAGAAAGATGAGGCTTTCTGTAAAGATTTATAGCCTCGGAAACCCTGTACAGAGCCGCCATGGGTCGGAACCGACTCGACAGCACTTAATAACAACAACAAGGAGCGGCTGGTGAGTTTGAAACGTCACTGACCTTAGGTGACACCAGATGTCACCATTACCCATAATCCACAAATTTCCCATAAGCAGGAACTCACTACTTTCTCATCAGCAACTCTGCTTTCCCCTCCCTTCCACCCGTTGTTGTTGTTGTTGTTGTTGTTGTTGTTGTTGTTAGTCTAGTCCGTTCTGACTCATAGCGACTCTGTCGGGTTTTCATGGAGCAGCTGGTGAGCTTGAATCACCAACCTTGCCGTTCAAACCGACCTTGCAGTCCAATGTATTAACCCACGATGCCACACCAGGACACCTTCCCCCCGCCACCACAAATAAAACTCCAGTTTGTGCATTTGCCTATTCTAGACACTTCATACACATGAGCTCATACAATACTTTTATCTGTTCTTTGACTGACTTACAGGATCTCACTCAGCATGTTTCCAAGGTTTATCTGTCATTTACCAACAGTTCATTTTTCTTTGCGGCTGAGTATCTATGCACATTGCAGTGTATCTGTGCACACCAGTGGGTGTTGGTTTAAGGTACTATGGTTGTGATAAGCTCTGGTTAGGGACGTGGCTGCTAACCAAAAGGTTGGCAGTTTTAACCCACCAGCTGCTTCAAGGGAGAAAGATGTAACCGTCTGCTTTCGTAAACAGTACAGTCTAGGAAACCCACAGGGCAGCTGTTTTGTCATATAGTGCCACTATGAGTCTGGACTGACTCTATGGCACACGACAACAAGCTTGCGTTAATTTGTTACAGATATACAAACAGATGAGGCACTGCCCAGCAATAATTGTCCATATGCCACCCCCATTTCTGCCCCAAACATCCTTTACCCGGCACATAATAACCCAATGCTCAGGCTGTGTGTGATGGTCAGATCCACTGATGTTGGATCCAACCTTCTCCTAGTGGGGACTGTCCTACTCTTAAGGACTGAGGTCTCTTTAAGTTCAGTCCTGAGCAAATCAGACTCATAGTGGCCCTATGTGACAAAATAGAGCTGCCCCTCCACACAACAGCCCCCCACGGACTCCCAACTCAGAGTCTAGAGCACAGAGGCCTCAGAACTCCCAAACAGCTCCACTCCCTTGGTTCTTTGAAGGTGCAAATAGTTAAGCACTGCGCTATTATATTAGACAAAAAGTTAGCAGTTCGAAACCACCAAGCAGGTACCTTGAAGAGTGGTGGTGGTTATGTGCGGTGGAGTCGGTCCCGACTCACAGCGACCCTGTGTAGGGTTTCCGAGGCTGTAATCTTTACAAAAGATTGAAGTTGTCAAGGACTTCATTCTTCTTGGATCAACTATCAACAGTCGTGGAAGCAGCAGTCAAGAGATCAGACGACGTATTGCATTAGGCAAATCTGCTGCACAGGCACTTTTTAAAGTATTGAAGAGCAGAGATGTCAGCTTGAGGACATCTCAAGCCATGGTATTTTCAATAACCTAATATGGATGCGAAAGCTGGACAGTGAATAAGGAAGATCGTAGAAGAATTGATGCCTTAGAGTTGTGGTGTTGGAGGAGAATGCTGAGGGTGCCATGGACTGCCAAAAGAACCAATAGATCTGTTTTGGAGGAAGTGCAGCCAGAGTGCTCCTTGGAGGCCAAGATGGCTAAGCTTCGTCTTTCCTACTTTGGACATATTGTCCGGAGGGAACAATCACTGGAGAAGGATGTCATGCTGGGTAAGGTGGAGGGTCAGAGAAAAATAGGAAGACCCCCAACAAGATGGATCAGCCAGGGACATCATTGATGGCGTCAAGTGTGGCAGCGGTAGTGAGGTTGGCCCAGGATCAGACACTGTTTTGTTCTGCTGTGCATGGGGTCGCTATGAGTTGGTTCCTGACAACAACAACAACAATCTTTACGGGAGCAGAAACCCTCATCTTTCTCTTGAGGAGCAGCTGGTAGTTTCAAACTGCTGACCTTGGGGTTAGCATCCCGACCGGTAACCACTACACTACCAGAGCTCCTTTTGTAAAATAGTCCCGGCATTCTACTCTGACACACACCGATTGCCCTAAGTTTGAATGGACTTGTAGCAAATGGGTTGGGTTTTTTGGGTTTGGGTTATGTTAGTTTTGAGTGAGACTCTGGGCATTTTGCTTCCTGGCTCCAGGCCTCAAAACCCAGGATCCATGGATAAGACAGGTCCACGTTGGGCAGTCAGCGTGCTCCATTTGACAAATGGGGAAACTGAGGTCAAAAGAGGCTAGGTCTAAGAGTGCATAGGTCAGATATTGGGTATAGGATGTTAGATAATGATGTGAGACTCCAGGGTTCCAAGAAAAATGGGCTTCAGGTCCCAGGGGCTCAATTAACAACAGATGAGTGGGAGGCAGGACCTTGGAAAGGGGGCAGGGCCTAACAGGGAGCGGCCGGCTACCAAGCAGGGGGTGGGGCCAGCGAAGAGGAGGGTCCTAACGGGAAGAGGCCGAAAGACCCAGAACAGGCTGGGGCTGAAAGGGAGGCGGGGTCAGTTAGGAAGAGCGGGGTGGGTGGGAACGTGGGTGTGGCTTGGGCCGAGCCCAGGCAGAACCCGACTTTGGAGGGGCAGGGCTTAGGCCAGAGCTTAATGAAGTTTGCAAATAGGATAAGGAGGCGGGCTCTGTCTAGGGGGCGGTGCTTATGGCCAGGTCTATATAAACTGGGCGTGGTCTGTCTGTGGGGCGGGGCCTGGCCGAGAGAGGTCAGGTCCGGGCGCTTATCTGGTCTGGTGGATTGGATTTAGCGCCCAAGGCACCGCAGTTGGGTGGGGGCTCCGTGCACTTCCGTGTGAGATGTTGCGTATTTCCGGTCAAGATGGCGGCGCCCATAAGAGTCAGGTGCGGGCCACTCTGTCTTTAGCAGCGGTGACGACTCGAGGCCCGGGGAGGTGAGATCCACCTCGCTTCAGCTCCCCAGTTTGGAAATGGGGGTGGAGACTTGTTGCTGGGGAGACTAAAGAGAGAGCTTCATGCTCTGGAGGCGGGGCAGTGGGGTTGCTAAGAGACGCGAATGAAAGCTGTGGCAATGGGGCGAGGGGCTTGTTACCAGGGAGAGTGGGCGGGGCCTGTTGTTAGGGAGATGGGAGGGGCTTATGGCTTTGGGCGAAGGACTTGTTATGAAGGAAGAAGAGGGGGCTGTGTCTAAGGGGGATGTGGGCAGAGTTGTTTGGGGACATGGGGGGACACCGAGCTCCCTTGAAACATCACCTCCTCAGCAGACCCCCAGGATTCGACCTGTCAGGACGCCAGAGCTGCCTCAGCGGTGACCCCTCTCCCCATCACTTTCTTCTACCCTTCCTCTTGACAAGCGGCCCATGGCGGACAAAGGCTCCGGGGGCAGCCGCCTCCCCCTGGCGTTGCCCCCAGCCTCCCAGGATTGTTCCACAGGGGCCGGTGGCTCTTCGGCGGGGGGCTCGAGCAATCCTCCGCCCCCACGCAACCTCCAAGGTCTGCTACAGATGGCCATCACGGCGGGCTCCCAGGAGCCAGACCCCCCTCCAGAACCTATGAGTGAGGAGGTAAAGGATGGGGACCCAAGAAGCTGGGGTGATGGGACTGGGGTGTCTTGGAAAGTATGGTTTGCGCAGCTGGGATCTTCCTGGGTGAGGGGCACGAGTGGAGGTGTGAAGGCATGGCAGGCTATTATTGTGTTAACGGAGCTTTTTGCAGGTTGAAGGTCACACCTCAATGTTTTTAGAGGTTGAGGGGTCAGACTCCTGGGTTTCAGGCACTGTGCTGGGAGGCTGGAGAATAAGCTGTTAATATAAAGTAAAACGCAGGATTCTGGGCCCTGACAGACCTGAATTCACCATTATCAAGCCTTGTGACCTTGGGCACATCAATTCCGCCCTATCGTCACGTTTCTCATTTCTAAATTGTTGTTGAGAAGAACAGAATCATCACAGTACTTGATGTTGTTAAGTGCCATCATTGTGTTCCAACTCATCTGGAGCCTGTATAGGGTTTCTGAGGAACAAGTGTAGGTTTGAACAACCGACCTGGCAGTTATAACACACCAGGACTCCACAGTGCACTATAGGGGTAGTTTTGAGGTTCTAAGGCTCCGACCTTATTAAGAGCACAGACTACAGAGACTACTGCTTAGGTTCACCTTCTGGCTCTGCCCATTGCTGGCTGTGTAACCTTGAGCAAGTGACCCCGTTGTGCCTCAGTTTTCTCATCTGTGAAGTGGGGATAATAGTGATACTTACTTTGAAGGGTTGTTGCGAAGCTGAATGCTGTTGTTTCTGTTAAGTGCTGTCAAGTTGATTTTCAACTCATTTTGACTCCATATGACAGTAGAACTGTCCCGTGGAGTTTTCTAGTTTGTAATCTTTATGGGGGATCCTGGTGTGGTGCTATTGGATAAGCACTGGACTGCTAACTGAAGGTAGGTGGTTCAAACCCACCAGCCTTTCCTCAGGATCACTCTGACTCAGCGGTGCTTGAAACACCAATCTTTATAGGAGCGGATTGCCAGTTCTGTCATCCAGGGAACAGCTGGTTAGGTTCAAACTGTCAGCCTTTTAGTTAGCAGCCAGGCACGTAACCGCTGCACCTGGCTCCTTGTGATGCTTAATAGAGCTTCATAATATCATAATGTTTCATGAGCTACTGCTGGGTATTGCACATTGTACTAAACCATTTATATATGTGGTTTGTTAGTTGCCATGGCGTCGGTTCAGAGTCCTAGTGATCCACCCCACGTACAACAGAATGAAACACTGCCTGGTTCTGTACCATCCTCACAATTGTTGTTGTAGCTCATTGTTGTACCCGGTGTGCCATTCCACCCAACTAACTGAGGGCCTTCCTCGTTTTCACTGAAGCTCCACATATAGGCTATCATTTAACCCATATATGTAAGATGACTGGCGAGCTCTCAGATTTATCCAGGAGTTTGACACAAAGCCATCAGACGAGACGTAAACCCAGGGCCTGACAGAAGAGTCCACCCATCAGTCCTTGTTGTGACTTGCGCTGGAGTCAGTGCTTGCTTGCGGGACAGACCTGCTTCGTAGGGTTTTTTTCTTTTCTTTTTTGACAACTTTTCATTGTATATTGGGTAACACACTTTTACACAGCAAATCCGTTTTCCATTCGTTCCCTACATGTGTTGTTTCATAGTGTCCATTGCAATCTGCACACTAACAGAACTCGTCCCACTTCCTCCAGTTTTCTTCCGGCCTTCTCTCCTGCCCCTTCCTGCCTTCTCCGTAGAGTTTTCAAGGCTGTGCCCTTCACAAAGCACATCACCAGGTCTGGCTTTTGAAGTGCCTTGGGTTGGCTTTGAACCACCAACCTTTCAATTAGTAGTTGAATGCTTACCTATTTGTGCCACCCAGGGCCTCTGGACCATTTTCAGTCCTCAGCTTACTGCTCTAACAGCAGCATTTGACCCCACGCTTACCTTGGAATGTCCTAATTCATCGGATCCCAGGGCAGTGCACACCCTGGGTTTCAGCCTCCTTCTCGTTCCCCAGCCTCTTAATGATGGTGTGGACCACGACTTGGTCCTCGGGGCTCTACTTTCTCTCTTTTTTTTCCAACTTTTTATTGTAATTTGAATGAAAGATTTTTTTTTAAATGTTTTATTGTGAATTATGTGATAGTTTACATGGGAGAACATTAGCTTTACATTCATCCTATCGTATATCGTTTCATTGCCATGGTTACAATCCCCTCCATACATGACCAACCAACCATAGGGTGCACCCTACAAGCCTGCACCCCTGGTCGTCAGCACACAGCCCCTCTCCTTCTCTGGGTCTGAAGTCCCCAGCTACTCCATCTCTCCATGTCATCATCTCTGCCTCCATCTCTGGTGTCACTGCTTCTCTGGATAGGGTCCCGCTCTCCACTCTTCTCCCTTGATGGTTCCAGGGACCTCTGCTCCTAGACTGCAAAATTCATCACTCCCCTCCTTGCTACAAAACGTCTACCTTTACATTTCCAACCCTCACAATCACTCTTAATTCACTATTGTATCACAAGAGACCTATCCGCATTTCCTTTCATCAGCCCTGCCTAGACAGATTGGATACTACGCCGTGGAGATTCTATCTTCCTCCAGGCCCTCTGGATCTAGGCTACCTCTTTTTTTTTTTTTTTTTAGGAGCATTGCTTTCCTTTTTTTTTTTTTTCTTAAATGTTTTATTGTGAATTATGTGATAGTTTACATGGGAGAACATTAATTTTACATTCATTCTATGGTATATCGTCTCATTGCCATGGTTACAATCCCGTCCATGTATCATCAACCAACCAAAGGGTATACCCTGCAATCCTTCCCCCGTACCCCCCAGGTCTTCAGCACACAGTCGCTCTCTCTCCCTCTCTGGATCTAAAGTCTCCAGCTGCTCCATCGCTCCATGTCATCATCTCTGCCTCCATTTCAGGCATTACTGCTTCTCGGGGTAGGGTCCCACTCTTAGGCTCCTTCTTGAAAGCTTGTAAGCCAGTCACTTCTTGCCTTGGATGAAAGTTTACAGAGCATGTTGGTTTTCCATCCAACAATCCACACACATTTTTTGCGTGTGTGCCGTGCATGGCAGCACTCACAGTGTAACAGCCCTCTTCCTGCTGCCTCCATGTGTTTCCATCCAGACCTTCTTTCCTGCCTTCTGAGCTTCACACCTTCTTCTCCGATGCTTGACTGTCCTCAGGAGTGTGCGCCTCCCCAGTGCTGGTCACTTTGTACTCTGGCTGTTGTTTTACTAAAAGTTGAGTCATAGGATGAGTTCATTTGTAGGCTTCACAGGTGTCTAAGGGCCGTCGCCTGGTGGGGCCTTAACCATTCTCTAAGCCGGATCTTTTTCTATGATTTTTCAGTTTTGTTTTTTTTCTGCTCTTTCTAGGACCGCTTACTGTAATTCCTTTCACAGCACTGGTAGCTGGGCACCATCTAGTTCTTCTGGTCTCAGGGTTGTGGAGACTGAGGCTCACGGTGTCCCTTAGTTCTTTGCACTAATTGTTTCCTTGCATCTTTGATTTTCTTCACTCTCCTTTTCTCTGGATGGGGAGAGACCATAGATCAGAGGTGGGGAATGTCTGGCCCTGCCAAGGCAACCGCAGTTCCAGCCATCACATTTGTGGTTATTAAGTGCCGTCGAGTTGATTCTGACCCATAGCAGCCCTATATAAGGTTTCCGAGGAGCAGCTGGTGAGTTTGAACCGCCAACCTTGCAGTGCAAACTGACTTTGCAGTTCAGTGCATTAACTCACAGAGCCACACCAGGACTCCAGGCATTACATCTGGGGTGAGTTAATTAAATGTTTGACCAACTACAGCAGGCTAAATTTTAAGGTGATAATTTTGTATGGCTTGTGAATGATGTTATAAATATCCCCATGGCCCTTGGCACTAAGAAGGTTCCCCACCTCTGCCCTAGCTTCTGGCTCCCCTAGTTGCACTTTAGATGAATACTTTCTACACGAATTGTTTTGTAACACCAGTTACATTCTTTACACTGTGTGAACGCTCTGGTTAGCTCCATTCTGGTTGGTCTGTTTCTATCCATCGAGTTTTTCTATCTTCCCATCTTTGTTTTAAAGTTGTTGCTGATGGTCTCCCAGAGGGGATGTTTACAAAGGACCGCAGCACTCCTGGGCGATACTCTGTGTTCTGTGAGCCATTTTGCTGTTTAGCCACACAGTGAGTGACCTCCAGGGCTAGCGTCCGTTGGAGGTTTGAAGGGCACCTCAGGACAGTAGTCTTGGGGAGCCCACCAGTCGACCTGTGTTGAGGTGTAAAGGGTTCTGCCTCCGACCTTTACAACGAGCCCGGCTGTGGCGCTGTAGGATAAGCACTGGACTGGCAACTGTACGGTCAGCAATTTAGACTCACCACCTGTGTCCAGGGTCGCTAGGAGTCAGAGCCGACTCGATGGCACATAGCAGCCGTCTTTACAGCAGAAGGAGACACTGCTCGGGCCTGGGCCTTCCGTCTGGGCCTGGGCCTTCCTCACAGTTGTCATGTCTGAGTCCACTGCTGCAGGCACCGAGCCGTGCCAGTCCATCTCGGGGAGGCTCCTCGTGTGTTTCGTTGTCCCTCTACTTTATGAAGTATGATGCCCTCCAGGCACTGGGGGGGCCCTTCCTGACAACGTGTCCAAAGTATGAGAGATGACGTCTCCACATCCTTACTTCTAAGTAGTATTCTGACTGTACATCTTCTAAGACACATTTCAGCGAAGAAAGCCCTATGGGGTACTCCTACTCTGTAACCCCCAAGCCTAATGCTGCTGACTCACAGCGTCCCCATAGGAGAGAGCCGGACTGGCCCAGCAGGACTGTGTCATCGGCCTCCCGTGGGGTGGCTGGTGGGTTTGAACTGCCTACCTTTCAGTCAGTAGCCAAGCACTAAACAACTGCACTACTAGGGCTCCTATATTCCATAACACATAGGGTCACTCTGAGTCAGAACTGAGTCTAGGGCCCAGGATGATAGTAATCCCAGAGTTGCCTAGGACACCCATCTTGTCTATTTTGTTTACCGTAAAGGCAGCTGACCGGCAAGACCAGGAGGGAGCCTTGCAGCTAGCTGTTGGCCAGCCCTCGTCTGTCAGTCTGTCTGTCGCACCATGGTGGCTTGTGTGCTGCTGGAGGCTACGCCACCAGTATTTTCAATACCAGCAGGGTCAGCCGTGGTGGACAGGTTTCTGCGGAGCTGACAGACCAGGAAGACAGAGGGAGAGATCATTTCTGAAGGGTTAGCCACTGAGAGAACATTGTGAAGAGCAGCGGTACATTTTCAGATACAGCGCCTTCGGGTTGGAAGGGGACGACGTAGTGGCAGCAGTATTGGGCACAAACATAACAACAGATGTCAGGATGACGCAGGACTGGGCAGTGTTTCCATTTGCTCTGCATAGGGTCGCTTTGAGTTGGAACCATCCCACAGGCACCTGACAACAGGACCCCTGAGCACAAGCGCCGCTTCAGTCATCCTCAGGGCCACGTCCCCAGTGTCGGGAAGCATCTTTCGTTTCTGTGTAGATGCTCAGTAGATGTCTGTCAGTTGAAGGGATGGCCACTGCTCAGATGTTAATCCTTAAGGTTACTGTCACTCATTCCTCCATTGGTAATCGTCCTGCCTTTGCCTCTTGCCTCTCCTCATCCTCCCTGCCACCTGGACCCTCAGAGGCGGCAGTGGCTACAGGAAGCCATGTCGGCGGCCTTCCGGGGCCAGCGGGAGGAGGTGGAGCAGATGAAGAAATGCCTCCACGTCCTGTCCCAGGCCACGCCCCCTGCAGCTGGCGAGGCTGACCTGGCAACTGACCAGCAAGAGCGTGAGGGGGCCTTGGAGCTCTTGGCCGACCTGTGTGAGAACATGGACAATGCTGCGGGTAAGGCCCCAACCTGCCTACTCTCCGGGCCTCCCGCAAGCCCCTACTCCACCCCAGCTGCCTCAGCCAGCAGTCTCTTCCCGACCCAGTCTGCCTCCCCTAATGCCCATCACCATCTGGAGTACGGTCTGATCACCCACAGGCAGCCTGGCAGCTGGCCCTGGCCACTCCCTCCCTGGTCCACCTCTCTCCTCAGCCACAGCACTCCTGAGAGCATGAGCGAGGCGCTGTTTTGGGTGGGGTGGTCAGGGAAGGTCTCCCGGAGCGACGGCATTCCCTCTGAGACCTGAATGGTACAGAGAGACCCCTAGGATTTCCTCTGGAAGAAACACTCCAGGCATTGGAGGCTTAGCGTCCTGGTTCCTGGGACATCCCAGTGAACTAGCCCAATAATGTGCTTAGGGCTTCTGTCTTCCTCAGAGTTTCGTGGGGCTTGGGGTCGTAGAGGCTTGTAGATGGCCATCCAAGGCACAGCAACTGGTGTCTGTTCACCTGGAGCAACAGAAGAAGGAGAGTTGGAATAGGAGGAGGGAATGGAATGTGAGGTTAATCGTCTCCATGAACATCTGCCCCTTTGTCCTGGGACCAGGAGAACTGGATACTATTGCTTTATGTTTTGATCAAAGATCAAAAGGGGAGGAAATGTAGAACAGAGCTTGAAATTTTCATGGCCTCCAGACTTTCTGGGGCCCTAGAGGATAGCATCCTGGTGTGGTGCTGTTGGATAAGCACTGGACTGTTAACCTCAACGCTAGCAGTTCAAACTCACCAGCCACTCCTTGGAGACCCTTTCTGTTTTCTAAGGAGTGGCTGGTGGGTTTGAAGAGCGTTGCTGAGTGGGAATCAAGTTGACAGCACTAAGCGACAACCAGGACTGCGGGACCTCTGGAACTACTTGATCTTTTAAACCTTAAACCAAAAAGATCCCTCGAAACTGTCTTAAAAGGAAACCATGGTTTAGCTTAACCAGTAAAGAATGCCAGCTTTGAGCACTGTGCTCTTTTCAGATGTGTGGAAAGTCAAAAAAAACCCTGTAGATGCCGAGTCCAATGACTGCCTTTTTAGGGTTAGACCAGCTGCTGCTGGGTGGAGTCGAACCTTCCACCTTGGGGTTCTCACAGCTCTGTGAGGGCAGCCAGGCTCTGACTCCCCGGCCTCATGGCCTCTTCCCTATTCCACCTTCCTACAAACAGACTTCTGCCAGTTGTCCGGCATGCACCTGCTGGTAGGTCGGTACCTGGAGGCGGGCGCTGCCGGGCTGCGGTGGCGCGCTGCGCAGCTCATCGGCACGTGCAGTCAGAACGTGGCGGCCATCCAGGAGCAGGTGTTGGGACTCGGGGCGCTGCGCAAGCTACTGCGGCTGCTCGATCGAGACGCCTGTGACACGGTGCGAGTCAAGGCCCTCTTCGCCATATCCTGTGAGTGTCCCCGGGTGGAGGGGGCGGGCCCTGTGAAGGGGCGGGGCTGGCAGGATGTGTGTAAACCCATTGACATCTAGTTGCCAATAGGGATTCCCAGGCAGTCATCTTAACAGAAGCAGATCAGCAGGTCTTTTCTCCAGAGGAGTAGCTACCTTTTGGATAGCAGAGGAGCACTTAACTATCAGTGCCACCAGAGATCCTTGCTAGCCCACAGCTGGCAAGTTAAGAGTTAAAGTGTTAAAAAGCAAAGATGTCACTTAAGGACTAAAGTGCGCCTGACCCAAGCCATGGTATTTTTCATTGCCTCACATGCATGTGATAAGTGGATGATGATTAGGAAGACCACAGAAGAATTGGTGCATTTGAACCATGGTGTTGGAGAAGAACACGGAAAGTACTATGGACTGCTAGGAGATCAAACAAATTTGTCTTGGAAGAAGTACACTCGGAGTGCCCCTTAGACGTGAATACTTTGTCAGGAAGGCCTGGTCCCTGGAGGACATCATGCTTATTAAAGTGGAGGGTCAGTGAAAAAGAGGAAGACCCCTCAACAAGATGAATTGACACAGTGGCAGGAACGATTGTAAGGATGATGCAGGACCAGGCAGTGTTTCATTCTATTGTGTATTGGGTTAGTATGAGTCAGCACTGACTCGACTGCATCTCACAACAACAGTCTTCATAGGGTCAGAGTCCTGGGTCTTGTCTCCCAGGGAGCGGCTGGTGGGTTGGAATTGCTGACCTTTTGGCTAGCAACTAAGCGTTTAACCACTGTGCCACCAGGATTAAGGAGAGGGGCCCCAATTACTTGCTGGGCTCCATGCCAAGGGCTAGCCCCCTCTGTTAGCCAGAGAGCAGAAAACTACACAGTAACACAGCAGTTACTAGGACCATGGTTAAGCTTTGGGCTGCTAGCAGAAAGGCCAGCGGTTCAAACCTACCCAGTGACTCCACCAGAGTTGAGACCTGGTGAGCTGCTGCTGTATGCTCCGTGTGAAGCCTCGCTACTTGATGACATGGGGTCTCTGTGAGTCAGAGTCGACTTGACAGCGTCTGACAGCATCCGGGGTCATATGGCAGTCCAGGGGCGGTACACAACAGTTCAGTGTTTGACGACTGACTGAAGGGTCAGAAGTTTGACTTTGCTCATAGGCACCCCGGAAGAAAGGTGTGGTGGTCTAGTTCTGAAAAATCAGCCATCGAGACGAGACCCTTGTGGGCTCAGCAGCACCTGCTTTGGTTTTGATTAGGGCTTGGGGAAATGGATTCAATGGGGTTTCTTTCTAGAATGGTGAAAATATTCTAAAATCAATTATGGTGACAGGTCATATCCCAAGCCATGAAGTGGTATATTTTAAAGGAGGTGGATTTTGTGGTGTGTGAACTCTTATCTGAATGAAAAAGAGCGTGCTTCATAGTATGAGCATGCTGAGGGCGAACATGACGATGATGGCAATGATCCCTTTGAAGGAATGCCGATCAAAAGGAGGAGACCATGGAAGAGAATTTCAAATGTCCATGGAATCCAGACTTTCTGGAATCGTTGAGGCTGGATGAATAGCTGAGACTATTGCCCCGCAATAATAATCTTGAAATCTTCAACCAAAAACCTTCCTTCAAGTCTTTAAATCGAACAGTAGTTTACCCGAACTAGTAAAGAGTGTTTGTCTTGAGAATTGTTCTTTTGAGAGAAATAATCTGTATGGAATCAAAGCAGCCCTGGTAACGTAGTGGTTAAAGTGCCTGGCTGCTAACCAAAAGGAGTCCTACTAGCTGCTCTTTGGCAGAAAGATGAGGCCGTCTGCTTCAGTAAAGATTTGCAGCCTTGCCATCCCTAGCGGGCACTTCTATTCTGTCTTAGAGGGTTGGTGTGATTGAGAATCGAAGCAGTGGGTTTTTGATTTTAGTTTTATGTGGGATCCAATTGACATTAGCAACTCACAAGATTAGACAGGAAGCTTCGGCAGCAGTGACTTTATGTTAATGTTGTTAGATGCTGGCGAGTCGGTTCCGATCTGTAGTGATCCTGGGCACTACAGCACGAAGCATTGCCCAGTCCTGCCCGTCCTCACAGTCACTGCGATGTTGGAGCCCAATGTTGCAGCCGCTGTCAGTCCATCTCATTGGGGGGTCTTGGTCTTTTTCACTGACCCTCTGCTTTATCAAACATGATAATCCTTCTCAAGGGACTGGTCAATCCTGATGACGTTTCCAAAGTACAGGAGATGAAGTCTGGTCATCCTGGCTTCTAAGAAGCATGCTGGCTGCACTGCTTCCAACACAAATTTGTTTGTTTTTGTGGTGTGTTGTTGTTAAGTGCCATCCATTGTCAAGTTGCTTCTGATTTATAGTGATCCTATATAGGGTTTCCTAGGAGCCAGTCAGTTTGAACTGCCACCCTTGCGTTTAGCAGGCCAGTGCTTATCCTACAACACAGCATCAGGACCGTGTTCTGACAGTCCATGATACTTTCAGTATTCTTCACCAACACTGTAATTCAAAATAATTGATTCTTCTTTGGTCGTCCTTAGTCATCATCCAACTTTCACGTGCATGCGAGGTGATTGAAAATACCATGGCTTGCCTTAGGCACTCCTTTGCCCTCAAAGGGACATCTTTGCTCTTTGACACTTTAAAGAGGCTTTTTGCAGCAAATCAGTCCAATGCTCTATGTAGACACAATAGCCTTGGACGCCCTCTGGGGCCGTCCTGCCCTGTTCCATAGGGCACCATGAGTTAGAATTAACGGCAGTGGTTTGTAAATGTTGTCTGGGATCCGATGGACAGCAGACGCTCAGAAGATGAGACAAGAACCTTGGGGCACTGAGGTCATGTTTGTGGGAGAGGAACAGTTTGTAAGAGGGGGTGAAAGTGGTTGTACAACTTGAATGTAGTTGGTGTCACTGATTCATACACGTAGAAACTGTCAAATGGCTGTCTTTTCTGCTGTGTGTATTCCCGACTACAAAACTGACAAACCAAACCTGTGGCCTTCACGTCAATTCTAAGTCACAGCAAACCTGTGTACACTTTCTGAGACTGGCTCTTTCTAGGAGCAGATAGCCTCTTTCTATTCTGTAGTGGCTGGTGGGTTTGAACAGCTGACCTTGTAGTTAGCAGTCCCAACACCCAACCCATGGCGCCCCACCAGGGCCCGTCTCTCTGTAACAACTAAATGACGGTGGATGGCTATGGTGGTAGTGACCTGGATAGAGGGCTGTCCTTTATCTCCCCCCTCGTCCCCCCAGGCCTGGTCCGGGAGCAGGAGGCGGGGCTGCTGCAGTTTCTGCGTCTGGACGGCTTCTCGGTGCTCATGAGGGCCATGCAGCAGCAGGTGCAGAAACTCAAGGTCAAGTCCGCGTTCCTGCTGCAGAACCTGCTGGTGGGCCACCCCGAGCACAAAGGTGGGGCGGCCGGGACCCCAGGCGGGGCAGCGGTTGGCAGGAGGAGGCTAGGGTGGGGGAGCCGGCGACCTGGGCCCGGCTTTCTGACTCTCTGAGCCCCGCCCCTAGGAACACTGTGCTCCATGGGGATGGTCCAGCAACTGGTGGCCCTCATCCGGACAGAACACAGCCCCTTCCATGAGCACGTGCTCGGAGCCCTGTGCAGGTGCGTCTGGGCCCCTGGAGGGTGGGAGCCTCGTTTTACATCTGGAGGGGAGTGTCTGAGTGACTCAAATAGTTGAGCTTGGGACTGGTTACCGCAAGGTGGTGGTTCGAACTCACCCAGAGGTGTCTTGGAAGAACAGCCTGGTAGTCTGTTTCCAACAGGTCCCAGCCCTGAAAACCCGTCAGCACATAGTTCTCCTCTGTACACTTGGGGTCGCCCTAAGTTAGAATCACCTCAACAACTGATGGGGTTTTTGTGGGGGATCTGGGCCTGAGCCCCTCAGCTGGTGTATACTATTGTCAGCTGCCAACTAAAAAGCTGACAGTTCGAACCCATCATGAGGCACCTCAGAAGAAAGGCCTGAGCGTCAGGTTCTGAAATATACCGTCCTGGCAAACCCTCTGGAGGCTGTTCTACTGTGCCCACGTGAGCTCCACAGAAGTCAGAACTGAGTCACCAGTGAAGACAAGGAGGGAGCTGATAGAACGGGGCTGCGGTGGGGAGCTGGCTGTCTTACCCCTCCAAGGCCCACATACACTGTGAACACCGTATGCACCCTCTGGTTGTCATTCTGACTCACAGTGACCCTATCAGACAGAACAGAACTGCCCTGTAGGTTCCAGAAGCAGACTGCCACAGTTTTCTTCCTAAGAGCCATTGTTGAGTTTAGAACAACAGTGTGACGTGACCGAGTGAGGCGGTGGCAGGTGTCCTTGGGTCTTGCCATAAGCCCTAGGCTCTGGATTTTGAGGTTCCTTCTATAGGCAGGTAGTTGGGTGGTATAAACAGTTCAGATGGCTGGCTGCTGACTCAGAGGTCTCAAGGGCAAGTCCACCCAGAGGCACCTAATCAGAAATATGGGGCCAGCTGCTTTTGAACGGTCATAGCCATTGGAAATCCTATGGAGCACAGTTTTACTCAGACACACAAGGATCGCCATGAGTCTGAGCGAACTCAGACTGTGGGTTTGATTTGTGGGGATCTGGGTTGGAGTCCCTGGGTGGTACAAACTGAAATGTGGGCAGTTTGGCCCCACCAGTGGTTCTAAAGGAAAAAAGACGTGGCTGTCTTCATTCTCCAGTGCTGCTCTAAGAGAAATACCACAAGTGGCAGGCTTTCACAGCCAGAAACTTCTTTCACAGTTTAGGAGGCAAGAAGTTCAAATACAGAATGCTGACTCTTGGGAAGGCTTTGTCGTTGTTGGCTCTGGGGAATGATGCTTGTCCCCTTTCAGCATCTGTAGACCCAGCATTCCGTATCAATCTCCATATATCTGGGCATCAATCTTCCCCAGGATCTAGGAACATCACAGTGCAGGGGACCCCAGGTCCAAAGAACAGACTCTGCTCCTGCTGCTTCTGACTTGGTGGCAGTAGCTCCCTCTTTCTCTGCTCCAGTCTCTCTCCTTTTGTCTCATGCCACACCCTTGGGACTCTCCCATAAATCGGATCAGTGTGGGGGAGGGGAGTGGTCATGTGCCCTGGAGTCAATTCCAACTCACAGAGACCCTGCATAAGGGTTTCTGAGGTGGTAAATCTTTACAGAAGCAGAAAGTGTCCTATTTCTTCCCCCAATGGCTGTTAGTTTTGAACTGCTGACCTTGAGATTAGCAGCCTGATTCGTAACCACTACGGTACCAGAGCTGCTTAAGTGTGTGATACCACTAAAAACTCTGGCCCAGCCAGGTTGACAGGAAACCTTAACTATGGCAGTTTGCTCTAATGTATTTACAACCCGGGAAACCCTGTGGGGGCGGCTCTACTCTGTCACATGATGTCACTTTTTTTAAGTTGGAATCCACGTGCTGTCATGTGACAGCATCAAGCCTAGTTGTGGGGGAGTGGGCCGCTCGCAGAAAGGTGGGCAGTTTAAGGTGGGTGGAGGAAAGGCCTATGGAACACAGTTCTGTGACACACGCGGGGTCAGGGGGCTATGAATTGGTTTGGGTCAAAGCCCTAGTTTGCACAGGGCTACTATACTCAGAGGCACCAGTTTGGGTTTGGTTGCAGAAAGGGAAACTGATGTCCAGCATGGGGAAATGGCTGACACGGTGCCTGTGTAAAGTGGAGTAGGGGCGGATGCGCATCAATGCCCGCTCAGGCATGCGCAGTAACAGGACTGAGGTGTCCTTGTCCCCTTGTCCCACCAGCCTGGTGACAGACTTCCCCCAGGGTGTGCGGGAGTGCCGGGAGCCACAGCTGGGCTTAGAGGAGCTGCTGCGCCACCGCTGTCAGCTGCTGCAGCAACACGAGGAATACCAGGTGCGGTCTGATGGGCGGGGCTGTCGGGAGGGGAGGGGAGGGGCGGGCTCAGCGCCAGCCTCTGTGCTCAGGGCCCCTCCTCTCGCCCTTCCCATCCCTCCCACCAACCCCAGGAGGAGCTGGAGTTCTGCGAAAAGCTGCTACAGACGTGCTTCTCCACTCCCACGGATGACAGCATGGACCGGTGAACCCGGGGAGGCTCCTCTCCCTGTGGGAGCCCCGAGGTCCCCGCCTCCCTCCCTCCCTCCAGAGGGAGGCTAGGACCTCGCTCAGGCCCACTCCCGGTGCCAACCCGATTCTGCTCAGAAAGTCTACGGCCCCTCAGACCCCAGCTCTCCCTCTTTCTCCTCCCCTCTCATTGCCACACGGTGCAATCGCTCTTCCAATAAAGCTATTTCTCCTCCGCCTGCCTTGATTTAAGATACACCCACCATTCAAACCCACTGCCATCCATCCAGTAGACCCTGTGTAGGCGTTCCAAGGCTTTCAAGCTTGACGGGAGCAGAAAGCTTCATCTTCCTCCTTCGGATGGACTGGTGGGTTTGAGCTGCCAAGGTGTGGTTAGCAGTCCAGTGTTTATTGTACAGCACCATCAAGACTCCTAGAGATACACACCCAGCATGGCAATTTGACACCAAACAACAGTAGCCAACAATCCTTAGAGCTCCTCAGTTTCTTGGGTGGAGGGTAGGGGAGAAGAGGGACATGGAGGGGTCCCCAGAGGAAACTAGTCTAGTAAAAGTGTCACTTTGTGATCTGTTGAGACTTCCTGTAGCACTGAGAGCCAGCCTAGTGGGCATTCAAACCAAAATAAAAGCAAGTCCATTGGTGCTGAGTTCATTTTGACATATAGCGACTCTATAGGTCAGAGTTGAATTGTCCCATAAGGGTCCAAGTTGTCCTACTTCGGTGGCTTGCATTTATGATGCTGGAAACAATGCCAGTGGTATTTCAAATACCAACATGGTCAGTCATGGTGGACAGTCCAGCTAAGACACTAGGAAACTAAAAAATAAAAAGGCCAAGTATGTTGTTGAGTGCTGTCAATTCCAACCCATAACGACCCTGGATAGGGTTTCCAAGGAGCAGCTGGTGAGCTTGAACCGCCGACCTTGCAGTTCAAACGGCTTTGCAGTCTGGAGCACTAACCCACAGCGCCACATCAGGACTCCACAATGAAAACCTTATAAGTAGCAGGAAACATTGAGAGAATGCTGGAAGACGAGCCCCTCAGGTGGTTAGGGACAGTAGCAACAACAGTGGACTCAGACGTAGGAAGGACTGACGGAAGAACAGGGCAGTGTTCTGTTGTACATGGGGTCGCTATGAGTCAGAACCAACTTAATGACATCTAATAAAATAGTCTCTTCTGTAGCAGACTGCCACACTTTTCTCTGGCAGAGCAGTTAGTGGATTCAAACTGCTGACCTTTGCAGTTAACAGTTGGACACACAAGCCTGACTCTACTAGGTCAATTTCGGCTGGTAGCTGAGTTTGCCCCACACTGGAAGCCATTTTCAGCTCCTGGCCGCAGGCAATAGGCCATGGACTGCCAGATGAAGGAACAACTCTGTCTTGGAAGAAGTACAGTCAGAATGCTCCTTACAAGTGAAGATGGAGAGACTTTGTCTCATGTACTTTGAACATGTTATCAGGAGGGACCAGTCCCTGGAGAAAGACATGCTTAGTAGCGAATCAGTGAAAAAGAGGAAGACCCTCAGTGATTTGGATGGACACAGTGGCTGCAACAGACGGCAGCGATGATTGTCAGGATGGCGCAGGACCGGGCCGGGGTTTGTTTATATGTTCACATGGAGTCACTATGAGTTAGAGTTGGACTCTAATCCCACCTACAATGGTAGCAGACAATCTTTGGAGCTCTTCACCTTCTAGATTGCTCTGTGTCCACCATTTTCATTCTCCCTGTCTGTTTGCTTCTGTACCAATCTGCTCTGTTTATATCTGAAAAATGATAAAGTTTAAAATACACCCAGCATTTCTAAATTCCCTTATGTTGGATGCAGTCCCCTCATTAAAAAAAACCAAAACACCAGTTTCCATGGAGTCGATTCTGACTCACGGAGAACCCTTGTGTGTCAGAGTGGAGCTGTGCACATATACCCACATAGAGCTGGGTGGTTTTTCCCCCCTTAGTGGACAGAAAAATAACTTATTCCAAAAGATGGCAGAAATAAGAAACTCATTCTGAAAATATAGTTTGGTGTGATTTTATCACATTGGCACAGATCTTCCCTCTGAACAGGGCCTCCTACTGTCTGCCCTACTGGAATGGTTTCTGTCCTGAAACCATTTCAGGGCAGGTCTTAAAACGCCTTGTTGACTCTCTTGTCATTAACAGGCAAGGGCCATCTTCAAAAAGCGAAGCTTCCAAGGACAGGGTCATGTATTCGCCAAAGGTAGAACCTTCTATTTTTTGAAGAGTGCATAGTCATTTTGCATAGCTGACAGTTTAGGTAAATTTAAATAGGCATGAAATTCATCAAAGTGTAAAAAAGGTGGCAGGAAAATACTGTATTTTGAAATAAGGCATTTATATGTGATGTGAATGTTTAAGGCAGCTGATGCCCAAACAGGTGAGTCAAGGAAGGTGCTTGGAGTTTAGAGGTGATTCTGCATCTAGAGGAATTTTCTTTGTGACCTCAATGACAGACACTGTAGAGAAGTCTTCTTCAGAGTCAGTGGCTAGAGATACTAGATGGTTTCATTTTTCAACTGTGGTCCAAAGAGAAGGTTGGGCTGGGCTAGAACTGCAATTAACCAGAAGAGGTAGCAGCAAACTGAACAGGGTCCTTGGTTAGGACCCTTGGGGATGAACCAGGCCACTAAGACGCTCATAAATTCCCAGAACACGCTCATCACAACGAATGGCACCGTAAGGCCATTGTAGCCATGGCTATTGGCCCAGCAGCCTGTCCCAGCCCTGCAGCCTCACTTTGGTCCCACCCCAAACAGATAGGGTTTTTAATGGCTGCTTTTTTTGTAAATAGATCGCCACAGGTGCGTCTGGGTGGCTCCAACTGCCACTGAGCACGTTAACATTTGCATCACCCAGGGACTCCCATGAGAGGTCCACGCTGGCTTAAGGTAGATATTTTATTTCCCAGTATCCCTTGTGGCAGAGCACAGTTATGTGACATCAGCTGCACCAATCAGAATGCTCCATCCAGGCCTGACAGGGGAGCTTAAAACTGTTTTTATCTGGAATGGATGTTAGAGTTTGTAAAATGCCTTTTCTGAATCAATCGATACGATCATGTGATTCTTTTCCTTTTTTTTTAATTTATATGGTGGATTACACTGATGGTTTTTTCTAATGCTGAACCATCCTTGCATTCCTGATATGAATCCCACTTGGTCATGATATATTAGTTTTTCGATGTGTTGCTGGATTCTGTTGGCTAGGATTTTGTTGAGAATTTTTGCATCTATGTTCATGAGGGATATTGGTCTATAATTTTCCTTCTTAGTGATGTCCTTCCCTGGTTTTGGTATGAGGGTTATGCTTGCTTCATAAAATGTATTAGGAAGTTTTCCATCCTTTTCTATATTGGGGAACTTACAACTGAAGAGAGGACACTAACTACAGTGCGTTCTAGTGAGGGTATGAACAGATGTTTCTGGTTTTAGACCGGGTCAGACAGAGGTTCTAGCAGGTGTGTCTATGCCTGAAATCCCCCGTGCAGTCCTGCAAGGCACCATGCCTGATTCTCCAACCTTCTCAGAGATTGGGGTGTTGTGGGGGGCTGTCATATAACCTTTAGTCAGTTCTTGTGGTGTTTAGTGAAAGTAAGTTTCTGTTGCTTGCAACCTAGAGCCCTAACTGATGCTGTAAAAATGGCGTAGTGGTGGTGGAGGTGTCTGACCTTTAACTTCGTGAGGGGGAAGACAAGGATCAGCAGCAGCCCAAGGATGAGTCCTACGAAGCAGAGTTCAGAGCTTCTGAACATGTGATCAGGAGGGACGAGTCCCCGGAGAAAGACATCCTTAGTAGCCAACCGTCTACTACATGCTTAGTACACCATCCGTCCCTCCTACAGCACTGTCAGCTTCCCTGCTGGGTTCTGTAATCTGTAGCAATGGCGGTACAGAACTCACACTTAGGACATTCCTTAGGGAAATAACAGGTTATATAATTGAGGCTTAGAAATGACTAAGGCTACGGTTCTTTAGCTATGACAGTTTCTTCTCAGCTACGTCCACAAGAAAGTCTCTTTGTGGTGCTTGGTCCCTTGCCTGCAAGTTTCCTTGGCTTTTGTTCTGCTTGTGCACGTGTTACAAAGCTCTTTGACTCCTGCCCACAGGTACTCAGCTTTTTTTGTTCCATGGACCGAGATGCCCACTGTGCTGTCCCTGCTGATCGGGTTCTACTGTATCTGCTGCTGTTACGTCTCTGCTAGTCTCTGGTGATCTAGCTCTCGCTCTCTGTCTCCTGGGTCCAGCGGATTCTCAACATTAGGAATCCCAGATCCAAAGGAAACACTTCATCCCTAGCTCTTCTTTCTTAGGGCTTGTGAAGTTCTCCCTGCTTACTTCTGGCCTGACTAATTTTAAGCCTAATGGGATGGCAAAACTGACCAATCCTCTCATTAGGGTTCCATACATCTTATTTGCATGGTCAGAGTCCTGGTGTGGTGCTGCGGGTTAATGAGCTGGACTGCAAAATTGTTTGAACTGCAAGGTTGGCAGTTCAAGCTCACCAGCCGCTCCTCGGAAACCCTATACAGGGTCACTATGGGTCGGAATCGACTCGACAGCACTTAACAACAACACCCACAAAGGTGCTATGAACCTTATTTTTATCAAGCTAGCCAATCCCTTGGTGGGCCACACACAACTCATTTGCATACCCTAGCCTGTAGGATAAGCACTGGACTTTGAACCACAAGATTGGCAGTTCGAGCCTACCAGCAACTCTGCAGGAGAAAGATGAGGTTTTCTGCTTCCACAAAGATGTACAGCCTTGGAAACCCTATACAGGGTCACTATGAATTGGAGCCAACTTGACGGCACTTAACAACTCAGTCATTTGGTGGGCATGACAAAGACTATGGCTAGAAGGAAGGGCCATATTAAGTAATTCACTGCACTGTAGATGTTGTGTTTAAGGTAAAGCATTGGCTAGGTTCACACAGCTGGTTAAGTGATCGAGGCAGGGTTCAAACTGAGGTCTAACTCAAAACCTATGCTTCTTCCCCTGTATCCCAGAAGCCCAGACCCTTTGATGGCCAGGTCAGTTCCTCCTGCGTGGGGCTTACTCGTACTCTTGGGATTTTAGAGGGATTATTTCCACTCCTTTGTGGTGCAGGTGGTTAACACACTTGGCTACTAATGGAAAGGTTGGCAGTTTGAATCCACCCTGGAAAGAACGGACTCGTGACCCACTTCCAAGAAATCAACTGTTGAAAACCCAGGCTCAGCTCTCAGCCAAACAATAGACAGGCCTATAAGGTGAAGAGTAACCCGAGGGAGGTATCCCCTCCTTGAGATACTCCAACCTTGTGAGATCAAAAGGGCAGTGTCTGCCTGGATAGAAAAGCAGGAAGAACGGAAATGGTGAGGGCAGGAAGGGCATGGGAAGAGCCGTTACCTGGTGGGGACTGCAATCAATGTCACGGAACAAAATGGGTATGAACTGTTGAATGGAAGATGGATTTGCTCTGTGAGCTTTCACCCAAATTACAATAAAATATTAAAAACAAAAACAGCAACAATAAATGAACCGTATGAAACACAGTTCTCCTCTGGCACACATGGGGGTTTTCCATGAGTCAGAGTTGACAACAACTGGTTTTCCACCCCCAAATTCAGGAGATTGCAGAAGGGTGGACAACCGAAAGATCAAATTCCACCTTTATTTGTTTGTTTGTTTTAATGAATGGAGCCAAATAGAGAAAGCGGCTTTAGGCTCGAGCCACATGTTTGGTTTTCTGATTTTAACTTTTTATTGTGAATTGAGTGAAAGTTTACAGAACAGATTATCAATCTTACATTCAACAAATCATATACTTCATTCTGTTACAATGACTGCAATCCTTTCTGTGTGTGCCATCAGTTAACAGCATTTGTCTCTGTTTCCTTTAACTCTCATATTCCTCTCCATATCTTCTGCTACCTTCATCTTTCCTTTGCCAACCTCCTTCTTGTTTATTGCCTTGTTCATCACTATCATGCTTTTCTTTTTAAGGTTTTTATTGTGGATTGAGTGAAAGGTTACAGGGCAGATCATCAGTTTCACATTCAATAAATCATACACCTTGTTTCATTTACAATGATTATAATCCCCTCCTTGTACCGTAGTGGTTACGAATCAGGCTGCGAACCGCAAGGTCAGTAGTTCGAAACTACCAGCTGTTTTGTGGGAGAAAGATGAGGTATTCTGCTCCTGTAAAGATTCACAGCCTCGGAAACCCTGTACAGGGTCGCTATGAGTCGGAACCGACTCCACGGCACACAACCACCATCATCACCACGTACCATTAGTAAACAGTATTTCTCTCGTTAACTTGTTTTTTTTTTTTTTTTTTTTAACACTTAGGCATACAGAATAATTTACACCACCAAAGGGCACATTCTGCAAGTCTGCCTCCTGGCCACCAGCTCTCAGTCCCTCTCTTCCCATGAATCTAGAGTCCTCAGCTGCTCCCCCTCTCCATGTCCCCCATCTCTGCTTCCATCTCTGGTGTCGCTGCTTCTCTGGATAGGGTCCTGCATTCCGCTTGTGCTCTTCTCCCTTGATGATCTGTACCATGGTTTTGCTGCTAGTTTATCTGACCATGATGCAGACTGGTCCCAGGAACCACTGAGCAAGCCCAGTTCCTTCCTCTGGAGTGGTACATAGTAGCTGAGGATGCGGGAGCCAAGCTTGCTCCAAGAGGAAGGGAAGCTGGAGGGCTGAATCACCATTCCTGTTTATCTTAGTTATCTAGCACTGTGATGACAGAAATAGCATACGGAGATGAGTCTAGCAAACAGAAGTTTGTTCTCCTGCAGTTTCGGAGGCTTTTAGTTCAAATTCAGGGTGTCGGCTTGGCTCACAGTTTAGGAGGAAAGTCTTTGTCTCCTTTCAACATCTGTGGGCCTGATGTTCCTCAGAGACCTCCATGTTCTCTTGGGTCTAGGAGGTTTCCAGCACAGGGACCCTGGTCAGGCTCTACTCCGAGCTCTTCTTTCTTGGTGGTAGTGGGACCCTCTCTTTGATATCACAAAAGAGATTTATTCGAGATACAATCTACCCCTATGGATTGCATCCTGCCTTGCTGACATCATGGAGGTAAGGAATCACCTTACCTAATTAAGAGAGTCATAAAGTTGCGGGTCATCGTATAATACTGAGACTCACAGCCAGCCCAGTCAAGTTGACACATATTTGGAGGGGGGTGGCAGGTGGTGGACATAATTCAATAATAACATCATCCAGTCCTAAAGGGGCTGGAGAGAAGCCAGAGACCCCAGTGGCAGTTTCTTCAAGCAGTACTATGAACAGTGGAAAATGCATGCTTCCCAGCAAACACTTTAAAAGCCCCTTTGCTCTAATGTAAAGAGACCTGGTGGCACAGTAGTTAAGTGCTTAACTGCTAATCTAGAAAGGTCAGCAGTTTGAACCCACCAACTTGTCAGGAGAGAGATGAGGTAGTTTGCTTTTTTACAGATTTGTTGTTGTTGTTAAGTGCCATCAAGTCCATTCCGACTAATAGCGACCCTTTACAGGGTTTCCGAGGAGCAGTTGGTGGGTTTGAACCCCTGACCTTGTGGTTTGCAGCCCAGTGATTATCCTACAGTGCCACACTTTGGAAATCCTACAAGGAGAGTTCTACTCTGTCCTATCGTGTTGCTATGAGGTAGAATTGACTTGACAGCAGCGGTTTATTTGAATATTAACAGCATCACCTACCTGGGAATTCTGGCAGGTTGAAGCCCAGGTTTCCATCTTTAAAGACTGTGATGTTCCCAGGTGCTTGCAGATGGGCTTCCTCCCCTTTCTTCTCTCCCATTTGGTGGTTGGATTTGATCAACCCCCATCTCTAAGTTCCTATGTGATCAACAGTTACGCAGTCATAACAAAGTGATTCAAAAACACAAGAGGAACCCTACATGGAAGAAAAGGCGATGGAAGGAACAAAAGGAAAGACCTCACACTTGCTTCTAGTGGTAGAACACTATGAACATGGATCCGTTAAGATTACAACGCTATGACTAAAGAAAAAGAGAGAAGGGGATGTTGGCCAGTCTAAGGAAAGAAATCTCGCCCACTGTCATGGAGTAGGTTCTGACAGGGTATCTATAGCATAGAGTAGAGTAGCCCCCCTAGGGCTTCCAAGACTGTAAATCTTTACCAAAGCAGATTGCCATGCTTTCTCCCTCAGAGGGTGTGGTGGATTTGAACTGCTGACCTTTCAGTTAGCACTTGAGTTCTAATCAGTGTGCAACTAGGGCTCATTTTATCTTCCTATAACAACAACAAAAAAAGTCCTCATGTGGCATTGTAGGATAAGCATTGGACCACAAGGTCGGTTTGAACCACAAAGTCAGCGGTTCAATCTCAATGCCTGCTCTTCGGAAACCCTATCTATCTATCCAGGCTCTCTATGAGTCAGGACCGACTGGACAACACTTAACACAAAAAGCCATTGTAATTGAGTAGCTTCTGACTCACAGAGACCCAACAGGAGGACAGAGTAGAAACCCCCTCCCACCATGGCTGTAAATCTTTACAGAAGTTTTCTTCTCCCCAGCGGCTGGTGGGCAGCCAAGTTACGTAACCACGGTTCCTTGTGGGGGCTAATAACGTCTATTAAAACCCATTGCTGTCCATTCTAACTCAACCTCCATTAAATCCTGGTGGTGCAAAATGATAAGCACCTGACTGCTAACCTAAAGCTTGACTGATGGAGTCCTGGTGTGGCGCTGTGGGTTAATGCGCCAGACTGCAAAGCCGTTTGAACTGCAAGGTCGGCGGTTCAAGCTCACCAGCTGCTCCTCAGAAACCCTATACAGGGTCTTTATGGGTCAGAACCGTGTCGACGGCACTTAACAACATTAACAAGTGGATTAAGACCTGGTCTGCTTCTGTAAAGATTTTGTTAAGTGCTGTCGAGTCAGTTCCGACTCATAGCGATCTTGTAGAGCGTTTCCGAGGCTTCAAATATTTGCGGGAGCAGAAAGTTCATCTTTCTCCTGAGAAGCGGCTGGTAGGCTCGTACTGCGGACCTTGTGATTATCCCTTTCAATGCTTAGCCTTACAGAGTCACCTCGCTCCTCCGTAAAGATGACCTTAAGGTCTAGAAGGGCCCTACCCTTTAATGTTAGAGAAAGCTTTGTGCACTCATTAGAAACAGAGACGGACTAAGAACTGACAGAAGGCATCCAGAAAGAAAAGGGTGGGACCAAACCACCTTGCTTTGGTTGGAGGGAAAAGCTAGGTTGCTTTCAAGAGAGAAAATCCGGAATGGATTTCCTAAGAGTGAGACCTTGGAGCCACACGCGGAATGCGGTTGGAGACTAACAGGTTTCCAACCTCAACGAGCTAGAAGAAATCCCGGAGTAGGATTTCTAATAGACTCTGGAATAGAGTCGTAGAGAAATTGGCTCCAGGGTGTGGGGTGGCGCCTGCGCGTTGGGCCGCCTGGGTTTATCTGGGGAGAGAGCGTTGGCACAACTAAGCGCAGGCGCGGCGGCATCGGCGTCCCGGATGGGCGGGGTAGGGAGCTCCTGTCTCTGAGACGCATGCGTACCTCGGGGCGCGGCCGCGGTGCACCTGCGCAGCGGGAAGGATCAGGAGGGCGGGGCCTCTGGCGTTCTGGGCGCTCGGGGGATTGTGGGATAGTGGCGGAGGTAGCCGGGCGTCGGAGGCCTGAGAGGACTGCAGACGCCGGGTACCCAGTCGTTTTCGGGGATGGAGGGCTGAGGAAGTGGGCCTCAGTTTCCGTCGGTGGCCGCTCACTACTGCGACTCGTTCGAACGGCGGAGGAGGACACCTTTCCCTCCTTGCCGTCTGCTTTTTCCGCGGGGCGCGGGGCTCAGGAAACCGGGGCGACTCCGCCGGCCTCCACTCAGGCCTTGTGGCCCAGCTCGCCACCCGCGGTCCTTGTCGTCGAAGCCGGAGGCGCCTGCGCAGCTCCCGTGACTTACCCCCACACTCCGCGTTCACCGCGGAACTGTGGGGCTCGGTGCGCGGAGCCCCCCCATTAACCCAAGGGCGCGTGCGCGACCGCGCGAACTCCGGCAGACGGAGGCGCCTGCGCACCGAGCGCCCCGCGAGACCCCCGGCGTCGCCCCCGCCCCCACTTACCGGGCCCCGGAACCAGGGGTCGGAGCCGCCTGCGGCGGGGGGGGGGGGGGGGACGCCCCGATGAGCCCCGAGTGCGAGGAGCCGCCGCCCCCGCGCGCAGGTGAGTGGACCGGACCCCGGAAGCCTCGGCTCCTCCCGACTGGGGGCTCCCCACGGAGTTCCTGGCCCCCTAGCCTCGCCCCCTGTGGGACCCTCCGCCGCCCCTCCATCTGGGACCCCCAGACTCGGCCCTCTTCCGTCCTGTCTCCCGGTGCCCCGCCTGTCACCCTGGCCGGAGGTGAGGGCCTGCCCCGGGGGAGACAAAGGCCCGGCCGGCCGGCCATCAGTCACAATGACTTGTAGCCCGACGGGGAAGTGGGGCCCGCGGAGCCCGGGCCGGAGTGGCGGGACTGGCCGGGCCGGGTGGGGTTGGGGGGGGGCTGTCGTGTCCGTGGAGGAAGGAGGCTGAGTGGGAGGTGACAGATGGCGAGTGTGAAGAAGGGCTGGCCGGCGGCCGGGAAGGTGGGATGCAGGCGCTTCCCAGGGAGCAGGGCGGGGGGTGATGTTCTACGGCGCCCAGCCCAGACCAACAGGAAGATGTTTCTGGAAAGAAAGATGAAGGTGTGCTGGCAGCCTTGGGACCGGGTCCAGAGCACTGAAAAGCTCGGGGGGTGGGGTGGGTGCCGCTGCACCCAACTTGAGGTGGAGGTGCTTAGCCCCTGGGCGCCCGCAGGCTGACGTCGGCAGGGACTCGGAAGGGCCTAGAGTGAACGGTGCGTGTGGTTTGTGTGCCCATCCTGGGCGCCTGCGTGCAGCGAGCTTGTGGCCAGGCCACCACAGCCTGCAACACGCCTGCCTGCCTGCCTCACGAAGCCCGCTGCTTGGCGTTCCTTGCTGTCTTTGAGACGTTCTCTCTCTCGGAGTTTTTCTTTAAGCCTTTTCTGAGAAGGAACTCTGTTGGCGCAGTGAATTGAGCTTTGGGCTGCTAACGGCAAGGTGGGCAGTTCAAAGCCACAAGCCACTCCACAGGAGCAAGATGAGGCTTCCCTATGAGCAGTTCTCCTCTGGCCTGCAGGCTTTCCATGAGTTGGAATCAAGTCCTCCTTTGCAGTGGGTTTTGGGAGGCAGTGAAGGTTAATATTTTAGAGCAAGCTCTTTTGTCTAAGGTTCAAGTCCCAGCTTGCTAGGGGCAACAAGGGCATGCTGATCATCAGCTTGTTGCTTCCTCTTTTTCTTTTTTAGGATGGGGACAAAAGTGCCTTCCTTAAGGGCTTATTCTGGGTGTGGAGTTGGATTTCTGTAGAATGCAGGATGAAGTAACCTGCTCAGCATCTGTCTAGCCTGGGATCGGCTCTTGTGTGATTCTCACCTGAGGTGGTTGTACCTCGGGGCACACGTGAGCACATGGTTGTCATGACTGAGACAGTGCTACCAGCCTCCGTGCCTCCGTGGGATTGAAGTCAGGGGTGCATTGTACACAGGGCCCCACAACATAGCGTTGAGTCAACTCTTGGCTCATGGCAGCCCCCTGTACAAAAGAATGAAAGGATGCCCAGCCCGGCGCCATCTTCATCTTGGAGTGTTTTGCTTTCATAGTTGGGGTCCACCCACGTTGCAGATCGGGGTTCTGTGGTGACCCACAGGGCTTCCATGAGCTACTTTTCAGAAATGAATCTCCAGGCCTTTCAGAAGTGCTCCTCAGACGCCTGCTGGTGTCTAAGATACCAGGTGGCTTAGCGTCCAGCATCATAGTACCACACAAGCCCCTGCACAGTGGTCCACTGATGGCTGGTGGGGGATGAAGGCTTGCCTGGCCTGCACGGTCAGCAGTGTCAGAGTGGACAAGCCCTTGTTTATAGTCATTTGAACTTCTCTGCTCACTTGAGCAACTGTGGCTTTGTGAGTGTGTGTGCTCGAGTGTGTGCGTACTTACCTTCATTGGCCCATTGGAGGTTACCTCTTCATCCCCACCCTGCTGAATTTTTCTTCAGGCTCTGGTCAAGTGAACTCAGCAGTTCAGCCCCCACACCCAGCTTGGTTTGGTTTTTGTTGTTGATTTAAGACTTGGGAGAATCCTATTTGGGATAGGGCAGCATCTGTGATCCACAGAAGCAGCCCGCCAGGTCCATTTCCCCTACACTGCTGCTGGATGGGTTAGAACCACCAATCTCTGGGTTACCTGTCGAGGGTGTGCCGTGTGCCCCACCTAGGGGCCTCCTCTGGATGCCAGCCTTCACTCACTCAGCAAGTGCTTGGACTGTAAATGGTGCTCTAGGAGTGGTTGCTGTCATGGGACGTGGGGCTGCTGGGGGCTTCATGGAGGTGGTGGCTGGTTGCTTAGAGAACCGAAGGAAAAAAGGATGACTAGGTGCAGTTGGGGGCTGCGAGCTGTGTAGGTTTCAGTGGGAGGGATACAGTCCCCTCCCTCACCAAGTCAGCTATCCTTCCTCTGAACGCCTGTTCTGTGGGCCCTTCCCTGGGATGTGCTACCTGAAGGCAGCCCTGTGAGGTGTTCTGCAGGTGGGGAGACTGAGACCCAGTGGGGCTTGGCTTGTGACCATTACAAACTTGTGGCCATTACAAGGAGCTCTGGTGACACACTCAGCGGGTTAAATGCCAGGCTGCTAACTAACTGCTAGGGCCTGCTCTCCCCTAGGAGCCACTTCTGCTCTGTGCTGCGGGAGGAGGAGGCTAGTGTGGAGTGTGAGCAGGCACTCCCAGTCCTTGGCCTGAGCTGGGCAACCCCCCCTCCCAGGCTCTTCCCCAGGTCCCCCTGTTCGTGGGCTTACGTGGCTCCTTCTCCCCAGTGGTGTAGTCGCTTAGAAGTCGCTGGGGTTGTTGTTTCATCCTGACCTCGGCTTCCTCTGCCCCTGACTGCCCTCCAGACCCTGGGCATTGGTCTCTGTTCTGCCATCTGGGCACTGGCTGGGTGAAGGGGAAGTTGGCCAGAGGCTACTGGCTGTCGGGCCCTTTAAGGGGCTGGGCCCAGGCCACCTCCCTCAACCACTGGAACAGGCTCTCTTCCCCACACTTGGACTTGCCCGGCCAGTTTCTAATCAGGGCAGCAACCCGGGGCCTGTCATCGCCACAGCCGAGGCTGGGCAACGGGTCAGTGGCCCAAAGTGGCCTCTCCCTGCCTCCTCTGCCCTCTGATCCCATTCACTTGGGCATGGGCCCTCCAGGTGGCCCTTCCTGGGATGCTCTTCATCCCCACTTCCAGGTGCCTCAGGACCAGGACCGGGGAGCAGGTGGCAGGAAAGGAGCACGGCTTCCCTGGCTGCTGAAGCTTTGTTGGGTGGAAGGCTCTTTGGGAGTGACAGCTAGGCTTGGCCTGACTGGGGTCGGGCCTGCAGGCCTGGGGAGAGAGCTGGAGGAGAACCTCAGGTTCTGGTGACGGCCCACTGTGGTAGAGGGCGGCTAGTGGCTCTCTGTCATGTATAAATACCCCCTTCCTTTTGCAGTCAGAGGCACGGTTTTCAAACGGCTGCTGAAAACCATGGGCTGTCACTTCCGTTTTCTAGAAGTTGCTGAAAGTTGCAGAGGGTGGGGGCGGGGGTACTGAGGAGCAGTTGGGTTGCTCAGGAAGACGGAGCAGCTGCCTCTTCCGTCTCCCCCTTGCCCAGGAAGAATCGAGGTCTCAGTGAGGGGCCACGGGGGTGCTTGTTGCAGCCCTTCTTGTGGAGATTCTTGTCCCCATTTTATAGATGGGGGAGCGAAGCTACTGGATGCCGTGTGCTGGGCCCAGGTTTACCGTGTTGAGAGTGTGTGGACTGAAACACCTCTGTGGTCTGCATGCTCTGCCAAGTTAGTTAGAAGGTGGAGGCTGAGCGTGGGGACTTGGACCTGGAGGTTGTGGAGGGAAAGGTCCTGTATTTTCCCATCTCCTGTACCTTCCTTAACATTGTCACCTAGTTCAGAGTGTGAGAGCCAGTGTTTGGCCACACAACCACCTGGAAGCCTTCCAGCCACCTCTGGTTTGTGGAGGCGTTCCCTGGGGTGAGAGACAAGCGGGGGAACAAGCAGAAGTCCTGGGACCTCAGTACCCACACTGTCTGCACACCTGGCTTCCCGTGCCCATGTACCCTCTGGAAAGGCTGGTGGGAATGGGGCACAAGGGCAAGGCATTTGGGCTGGGGGCAGTAGTCTGCACCCAGTAACCACGTGCCGTAGAGATGTGTATGAACCAAAACCAAAAAGTAATGAAATGAGCATGTGCCTCAGCTTTAGGAACATCCACCTTCCGCCAAGAAACCAGAGCCAGGGACTCGGAGGCCACTAGAATCCTGGCTCCTCCTTGCTGGCCTCCAACACCGCGGGCCCTTGTTTCCACATCTGTAAACCAGGATAATGATAGTAATGCGTCCCCTTGCTGTCTTGTAGAGACAAGATAAGGGACCAAGAAGTGCCAGGTTTGGGCACTGGTCTCCGGTGGTCCTGTCCCCTTGGAGGGGAGGCTTAGTTCAGAGAAGTTGACAATGGGGGATGGAGAGGGCAAGGGAGGACCTTGGGGGTACTTCCCCTGATGGGGGCCCTCCCTGTACTCCAGCTCTGTCCAGCCAATTGGCATCTGGTCTGCTCTTGGGTGACCTAGCCTCACCAGGTGGCCTGGGGTGGCAGCTATCTTTTGATAACAGCTTCATGAGGTAGGCGTCACATGAGGTACAAGTCACCTGTGTAACCTCTGGGTGCTTTACTGGCATGGAGTACAGTCACCCCTGTCCCCATTCGCCCTTGTTCCTCATCATCCCGGCTTCCACTAACCTCCTTTCACTCTCTGAATTCACCTGTTGTGACCATTCATATAAACTTGTGACTTTGGGGACAGTTTCCTCCTCCTCGCTGGGGAGTTGGGGAGCCTCTGGCTACTTGGTAGCTCACTCTCTTGCACACGGTCACCCCCAGACACCATCTGCGGGGTGGAAATCTGAAGCTTGTGTGTGCAGAGGGCCATGCGCTTCACCTCTTGTGCGGTTCATGTCAGGAATTGGCCATGTTAGGGTTGGTCGGTGACTGCTTGCTCAGGGTAAGTGTTCTGGCCCAGGTGGTGTTAGGTGCCGTCAAGTTGATTCTGACTCACCATGACAGAACGAAACACTGCCTTGCCATGTGTCATCCTCACAACTCTTCTCACGTGTGAGCTCATTATGGGAGCCATTGTGTCAGCCCATCTCACTGGGATGGGAAAAAGTGGTCACTTCTTCACTGACCCTCCCAAGGCTAGGTCCCTCCTGACAGACAACATGTCCAAAGTATGAGAGATGAAGTTTGAAGGGTGGGTGTCATCCCTGTGAGGCATGGCCGTCACCCTGGTGACTCAGAGTGAGTGTTATCCCCATGTGCAGAGTGTATGTAGTGATGCCGTTCCGTGTGAGATGTGTGCACAAGCTGGATGCCCTCCTGTGGGGGGTGCATATTCATGGTGGATGCTGTTCTGTGTGAGGCATGTATGGAATGTGATGTCATTCTCTTGTGAGGTATGTACATAGCGTGATATTCCCATGTGAAGTGTGTATGCTGGGTAACCATTGTCCACATGTGAGGCATGTACTCAGCATGGTTGTCCTCACGTGCAGTGGACGGGAATTTGCCCACGGTGGCTAGAGCTGAGCAGGTCGTAACGTGAGCCCTTGAATCCATCTTTGAGCTGGGAGACTGAGGAGGGTCAGCCTTCATGCTGGACTAGAGAGTGGAAATAGGGGACAGAGCCGGTGACCAGGGCCTCCCAGGTAGATGTAGCAGCAAGCACAGGGTCCCTGAGGGAGTGGGAGTGTCGAGAGGAGCGAAAAGGGGAGCTGCTTCCCCCCCGGTGGCTCGGGCAGGAATTTGGGGTGCTGTCCTGCGCTGTGGGAGGTCATTGAGGGTCGGAATGGAGGCAGTCTGTAGTCGAGTTTTCTCTCATGGGTTCTGTGGTAAGGGCCTTAGGAAACTTGAGGGGTTCCAGGCTCTGTGATTTGCCACCAGGCTGCTGCAGCCCGGGCTAGGACAATGATGGAGCAAGTGGTCAGGGTTGCTGTCAGCCTGGCTGGCATGTGAGGGGCCTGATGCAAGTTGTGTGTGCTGTGTGGGGTGGGCAGGCTGTGGCGGCATCTGTGGCTACGTGTGCCAGGAGAGTGCCCCCCAGGAGGGCACTGTTGTGGGGGTCGGGAGAGTGGAGAGCTGTGTTGGGCTGTGGCCTGCCAGCAGGTAGCATGCAGCCTAGGTGGTGGGCTGCACACGTCGTGTTTGGGAAAGCAGACCTGGTGGAGTTGGGGTTTAGAAGGTGTGGGCGCCAGGCTTGCTGTATACCTGAAGGTGGGTCCTGGCAGTGGGAAGTGGGTGCTCGTCTCCATGTCACCTTGGCACCCCTCTCCTCCCGACGGGATCCTCCTCAGCTTCCTTCCATTCAGTGGTCCATGAGGGCTTAAGGATCAGGCATCCCATCTTGTCAGGATTGTGAAGTGAGAGCAATTCTGTGGGACAAAGGGGACAGAGGACCTGCAAGGTCACAGTTTTCCTCTGAAGTCCCCAGATGAGACTTGTGGGCTGAGGCCGGCAGGTCGGTGTTTGGAAGGGCGCCTCCCCACACTTGATGAAGAGGTGTGGAGGGTAGGAAGGGAACTCTGTGTGTTTGGGGCTCCAGGTACATGGGCTGCCGACCCCACGCTGGGGCATGGCAGGTCAGGGTTCTCCCATGGCCTCTGGCACCTCCATGTGATGGACCCGCAAGGAAGGGCGTCTGGGAACCCTGGTGAGCTGAGGGCCTTGGCTGGGATGGGGAACCACAGACAACCTTGAGGTCAGGGGATGTGGAACCAGCATGTGGTTGCTCTGCCTGTAAGGGGGGCTGGCCTACAGCGGATGTGTAGACACCAGTGTGTCATTGTCTATCCGATGGCCCATCTGCCGCCTCGCAGCTCTGTCCCCACAGTGGACAGGGCATAATGCCCACATCAGTGCCCGCCAGTGCTCAGCACACACTGCTGTTCATGCCTGTCAGGAGGGGGTGGCAGATATTGTGCAGAGACGCCAGGATGCATCCTCCCGTGATGGCTGTCCACTCTGCTGGGTCAGAGCTGAGGACAGCAGTGGGGTGGGAAGAGTGTGTATGTGTGTTTGCATGGATATGAGTGCATGTACATACGTGTGCGTGTGCAGCATCCAGGCAACAGCCACTGCCTGGAGGTGCCCCAGGGCCCTCCCATGACCTTGGGTGTTTGCTGGGCCAGGCAGTGGCCAAGTTGGCCGTTACAGGGTGTCTGAATTTACTCGGCAAACAGACGGGAGTTGATCTGGCACCGGTGCTTGGGGGCGGGCGGGCTGGGGGAGTCGGAGGAGGACAAATGCAGGCACAGTAGGGCCTGAGGCCTCTCCCTGTGTGTGACCATACTTAGGGCCGTTAGCCTGTTGGGGACATGGAGCGTGATGTGACCCTGGGCTGAGGTGGCGGGGATGCCTTGGGGCCCCCAGGCAGCACTGAAGTGTGTTGGGTTGGGGCTGGTTTGGGGGTCCCACACGGACCCCTTGCTGAGCCGCCTGGTGTCCGCAGGGCGCCATGTTCTGGAAGTTTGATCTGCACACAAGCTCGCACATCGACACACTGCTAGAGCGGGAGGACCTGAGTCTGCCCGAGCTACTGGACGAGGAGGACGTGCTACAGGAGTGTAAGGTGGTCAACCGCAAGCTGCTCGACTTCCTGCTGCAGCCGCCCCACCTGCAGGCCATGGTGGCCTGGATCACCCAGGAGCCGCCGGCCAGTGGCGAGGAACGCCTACGCTACAAGTGAGCTCCTCTGTCCCTGTGGACTGAGGGGACGGGAGAGGTCCCAGCTCCTTTCTGGGGAGGTGTTGGGGATGAAGAAGGGAGGGGGTCCATGAAGGGAGGAGTAAATGGGGTCAGACCAAGGGGCTGAGACCCCAGCTGATGAAGCCACACTCTATCCTCAGAGCAGGTGGGGACCGGGCTGGTGGTAGGGACCCCCAGGGAGAGCCGCAGGAGGTGAGAGGAGCTCTGAGCAGAGGCAGAGTGGGGCCAGGGAGCCCCCAGAGATGGATGGCAGGACCTACCGTCCAACTGGTGGTGTGGGACTTGGGACAGGGGGATGGACTCATCTTCCACCTTCATCTTCCTTGGACTCTGCTGTGTCTCCCACACCCCCACATCCTGGGAGGGTGGGCACGTCAGCTCATGTATCTGGTGCCCCACTGAGTCAGCATTGCCCCCAGGTACCCGAGCGTGGCATGTGAGATCCTGACCTCAGACGTACCCCAGATTAACGACGCCCTGGGCGCTGACGAGGCCCTCCTGAACCGGCTTTATGGCTTCCTGCAGAGCACTGGCAGCCTCAACCCGTTGCTGGCCAGCTTCTTCAGCAAGGTCATGGGCATCCTCATCAACCGCAAGACAGACCAGGTCTGCCTGCCTACCTACCTGTCTGTCTGTCGATGCGGCAGCCCCGGGCCCGCCTGCGCCATCATGACCTGTCTCCCTGTGTCCCCAGCTCGTGTCCTTCCTACGCAAGAAGGACGACTTCGTGGACCTGCTTCTGCAGCACATTGGCACTTCGGCCATCATGGACCTGCTGCTGCGACTGCTTACCTGCGTGGAGCGGCCCCAGCTACGGCATGACGTCGTCAACGTGAGTTATCATATGCCCCCCTGTCCCGGCCCTCTCGAGGCTCCAGACTGACCCAGGGCCGATGGACAACTGTACTAGCTCAGGTGGCCGTGGTGGGTCAGCTGCAAGTATCAGACAGTTCATCTTAGTCTTCTCATCCTCAGTGGCTCAACGAAGAAAAGGTTGTCCAGCGGCTGATTGAGCTAATCCACCCCTCCAAAGACGACAATGTGAGTGCCCGCTGCTGCCGGCCTCCAGGCTTTTTGTAGCTTTCCTGGCTCTTCTCTGAGCTAACAACAAAGGAAGCAGCCAGCTGACTTTCTTTCACGTGCTAGAAAGTTTCCACAGTAACTTCTTGAGGGGTCAGGGTCTGACCAACATCCCAGAGGGTCCCTGACACCAGGCTCCCACTGTTCCTACCACCCATGCCCACCCCTATGGCCCGCTCCTGTCTGCCCTCTCCCCATCCCTCTGCAGGGTGAACTTCAGCGAGGTAGCCTGGGTGCTGACACCTCTGGGCTCTGAGGCCCTGTGTCCCCATGCCGTCCTCAGCCTCCATGTGGTCCACAGGCCTGCAGAGCAGGGACCCTTGCACCCGGTCCCACCTGTGTACCAGCAGCCTGGGGGTGAGGGGTGGTCACTGTCATACCTGCAGGGACGCTTGTGGGGGCCGCGGCAGTGCTGCCGACTGGATTCAGACGTCTGTCATGCCACTCGTTTCCGGTTTATCAGCATATCACTCCCATACTACACAGCTCACCCACGTTGATTGTCAGCGCAGGACTTTCTGTGATAGCCACAGGGTTGGGTGCCCATCACCATAGTCAGTTTTGGAACACTTTTTGTCTCCCCCAAAACTCCCATTTTCCACAATACCCCAGCCCCCAGTAGTCACCTGCCTGGATTTGTCCGTCCTAGACTCCCTGTGTCTAGAGTTGTACAGTACGTGGTCTTGCATGACTGGCCTGTTTCTTTGAGCATAGCGTCTTCAAGGTTCCTGGTGCTGTAGCATCTGTGAGAACGCCACGTGTCTTGGTAGCTGTGCAGGGAGACCACGCTATATGTTCCTTGTGTCTGTTGATGGGGGTTTGGCTGGTCCTCCCCTATGGGGGTTGTGATGGGTAGTGTGGCTAGGAGCATGTGTTGGCATTTTGTGTAGAACAGAGCTCCCTGCCCCCTGCTTCCCCTGGCTCATCTCTTCCTCTCTCACCCCTCTATGGTCCCTCCCTTGTAACACCTGCACCCTGGGTTTGTGTCCCTCCTTCCCTGACACTTTGTAAACCATGAGCCAGCAATTTCACTGTCCACAAGGTGCCTGGGCCTCTAGGGCAGTCAGGGACCAGGGTGCTCCCCTCTGCCCCTCCCCCAGCAACATTCCAACGCATCCCAGTCCCTGTGCGACATCATCCGCCTGAGCCGGGAGCAGATGATCCAGGTCCAGGAGAGCCCTGAGCCCGACCCACTACTGGGCACCCTCGAGAAGTACGTCTTCCTAGGGAGGGCGTGGGGACCCCAGGTGGCCCGACCTCCACCTCACCACCCTGTCATCTCAGGGAGGAGACGATTGAGCAGCTTCTGAGCAACATGTTCGAGGGGAAGCAGAACCAGTCTGTTGTTGTCAATGGGATCCAGGTGCTTCTAACACTGCTGGAGCCCAGGAGGCCCAGGTAGGGTTGCTGTTGGGGCCACATGCAGCCCACTCCCCACCTGAGCTCCTGAGTGTGAGTGCTGCCGTGTCTGTCCTGGCCACTGGCCTGTCTGCCATCGTATTGCCCATCCTCTTCCTGGGGAGTCCGTCTCAGAATCGCGTCTCGGCCTTCCCTAGGCACTGCTCGTTGTCTTCCGGCTTCTTGCCTGGTGCCCACCCCCAATCCCTCCAAACTGTGCTCTGATGTTACTTCCAGATGCCCCTTGTACTGCTGACCCACAGTGCCCTGCTCACCCTGCCCTTCTGTCTCGCATTGAGCTCGTGGGGTTCCAGACTGGAGCCCCCAGCCCTTCATGCCTGAAGTGGGTGGCTTCTGCCCTCTCATTCTGTCCCCTGCTGCAGGTCAGAGTCTGTGCCCGTGAATAACTTCTTCTGCAGTGTGGACGGGCAGCTGGAGTTGCTGGCCCAGGGTGCCCTGGAGAACCCCGTGTCTAGTCTCGGCGCCCTACATGCCCTGCGGCCGAGGCTCGGCCGCTTTCACCAGCTGCTGCTTGAGCCCCCCAAGGTGGGCCAGGCGGGCTGGCCTGGGTGTCAGGAGGGGCATGGTGGGGAAAGGGCTGCATCTGAGCCTCCCACACCCCTACAGCTGGAGGCGCTGCAGACAACTTGGGGCAGCCTGGCCCCTCCACTGGGGAACATGCGCCTGCACGTGGTCAAGCTTCTGGCCAGCGCCCTGAGTGCCCACGATACGGCCCTGACACAGGAGCTGCTGGCATTGGACGTGCCCAACACCATGCTGGTGCGGGAGCTGGGTGACCGTGAGGACTGGGCCCCAAGGGTGCCCAACACCATGCGGGGGCGGGGTGCGCTGAGGAGGACAGGGACTTAGCTGCGCTGCTTCTCTGTTCTCAGGACCTCTTCTTCCACTACGTCTTCAACAACTTCCTGCATGCCCAAGTGGAGATGTGTGTGAGCGCCATGCTGAGCGCAGGGCCTCCTCCTGACAGCAGCCCAGATACCCCTGTCCCCAACCCTGCGGTCAGACACGTGAGCAGGGGTTTGAGTTGTGGGCAGGGAGAGGGTCTTACACATCCCCCTCGTGCATCCCTTTCTCAGGGCACTTGTACCATAGTGAGGAGTGGGGGTTGATCCAGGCTCAGGGTTTGAGGAGGGTGATGGCGGGCGGGAGCCATGAGTCTGTGAGGGCCACTGCTCTGAGCAGTGAGGCCTCCTACTGGCAGGATGGCCAGAGACCACCTCACCCTTGCCTGAGGTGCACCTCACTCTCCACAGCTACTGCAGCAGTGCCGCCTGGTGACGCGCATCCTGACGTCCTGGGAGGAGAACGATCGCGTGCAGTGAGTGTGGTACCCCCTGCTGTGTGTGCGTGTGTGTACATGACCTAGGGGGACAGAGTCCCAGGCGGGTTCTGTGTGAGTGACGTAGGAGTTTGGAGGACTTGAGTGCTCAGCTAAGTCTGCTCTATCTAGATCTGAGGGAGGTCCTCGGAAAGGCTACATGGGCCACTTGACGCGGATAGCCAACGCCTTGGTGCAGAATGCGGAGAAGGGTCCCAATGCCGAGCAACTTGGACAGCTGCTGAAGGGTGAGGGGCCTGCCCGACGGGGGGAGCGCGGTAATCTTCCTGGAAGGAGGCCTCGCCCCCTCATGGCTGCCTTCTCTCCCCAAGCAGAGCTGCCAGAGGATCAGCAGGAGCGCTGGGAGGCCTTTGTGGCGGGGCCGCTGGCGGAGACCAACAAGAAGAACACCATAGACCTGGTGAGCCCTGCCACCCCTACCCCAGGACCCTGTGCTGGCTGAGCCACTCTCTGGGACCCCTCACACCTGGGATGTGGGTGGGCTGGACCTGCCCTTTACATGGTCTGGTTATCCTCCCGGCCCCCAGGTGAGCACCCGGCCTCTGCACTCGTCCAGCGATGACGAGGACGACCGGCTGAAGGAGCTCAGCTTCCCCGAGGAGGCCGTGCTGCAGCAGGTGGGCTCAGCTCGGGACCCCCAGAGACCCTGTGCTGCCCCAGCAGGCCCTGACTGTGCCCCCCGCCCCCCGTAGGCCTTCATGGATTTCCAGATGCAGCGCATGACCTCAGCCTTCATTGACCACTTTGGCTTCAATGATGAGGAGTTCGGGGAGCAGGAGGAAAGTGTGAAGTGAGTGTCCCCAGCCCTCGCCTCCCCGTGTGCTTCGGGCCAGACCCACTCCTGAGGCAGCTCCTACGCCCTGTGGGGCAGTCATGTGATGAGTCCCTGCACCCTGGTTCTCGGTCCCCTATGGCTGTTCCTTCCCCAGCTCTTCACGGTCTCCATTGAAGTCCTAAAGGGATGACCAGGGTGCCCGGCCACCACTACTGACCATTTCGGTCAAAATGTAGGACAGGATTCCAAATCCTCATAGACTCCAAATTTCCTGGAATCTTGGAAACTGGAGGAAGCTCTACAACTGTTGCCCTGAGATGGTCTTTAAACCTTCAGCCCAACACAACCCCCGAGTCTTCTTATGGCAAAATAGTAGTTCAGCCAGTAAAGAGTGTCTGCCGGGAGCATCCTGCTCTTTCAAGGTCGATCTGTGGCATCAAACTGGCAACAACTCGGAAGGTTTGCTAGAGATCTTAGGGGCCAGTGAGTGCTTGTCAGGGTCGGGGAGCAGATGGGAGGGGGTGAGGGTGGCTGCATAGCCCCGAGACTGGCAGCGGTGTCAGTGACTTGTACATGTAGTGAATTGCTGTGTAGATTCTTAACGGTAACAAAATAACAGAAAATTCTAAGTGCCAGTATCCATGAGGCCAAAGGCACCCAGCTCTCCACACTGACCACTGGTTGAATTGGGTGTAGATTTGGGGGGGTCACAGGGCAGTCCGGGAGTCTGGCAAATGAGCACCAGGGAGAGAGGAGCTCCCTCCTCACCGAATCCACCTCACGCTTCCTGACTTCCCCATAGTGCTCCGTTTGACAAGACGGCCAACATCACCTTCTCCCTCAACGCCGATGACGAGAACGTGAGTGTGGCCCCCTCTGCTGTGGTGGTGGTGGGAAGGGCGCTGTGGGCAGTGAGGCCCACCCTGTCTGCCCTCCTCCTTAGCCCAACTCCAACCTGCTGGAGATCTGCTACAAGGACCGCATCCAGCAGTTTGACGACGAGGAGGAGGTGGAGGATGAGGAGGGTCCAGGCTCCGGGGAGTCAGATGGTGAGGAGGGTGCCTGGCGGGGTGGCCAGCTGCCCAGGGGGGCCCGCCTCGGCCAGCACCAGAACGTCCGGTGAGTTCTATTGGCCCGACCTGCTTCAGGGCCTGGGTTGTCATTGGCCACGTTTGTGCCCCCCGCTGGACTGAGGCGAGAAAGAAGGAAGACAGTCTGAGTTGGCTGCTTCCTCCTGGGTATAGGCTTGGCGCTTGTGGTGACTTTGTTGTGTCTGACTGTTGGTGCCCTCTGCGAGCCCTATGGGCTTGGTTTGCGGACCTCACACATTCCAGCAGCTGCATATGGTGTCACCCTGGGTCCTCTGACCACGTTAGCGTTCTCTTGTGAAGTGACTGCTCACAGCTCTGTGGGATGGGGGTTTATGAAGGTGTGGGATTTGCAGATAGGACAAGGTACCCTTTGTAGCACACAGTCCTGAGGCCAAAAACAGGCTCTGTGTGACTGTCAGCACAGAACGAAGACTGTACTGTCCCCCCCCCCCCAGGATACCCCCTTCCCCAGCCACTCTCCCCACCAAGCTTTCTCCACCCTCACTCTAGCACTCTGCCTCCCCACAGTACCACTTAGGATACCCCCTGCCTCTGGTCACTCTGTCCTGGCACCCCTACCCCGGTCCTCTCTACTTCCAGGCACTGTGCCCCCACCCCAGAAACCTTCCTCCTTTCTTATACCTGGGCACTGTATCCCCGCCTTAAATTTACCCCCTCCCCTGGGCACTCTGTTTCCCCCCAGAACTCACCCTGCCCACGTCACTCTGTCCTCCCCCAGGCTCCTCCCTCCCACTAACACACACACACACACACACACACCTTTGTCCCTTGGTACTTACACACACACACACACACACACACTCACACACTCACACTTCAGTTATGGACTAATTGTCCCTGAAATAAAGACTGCTGCTTGTAGTTATTTCCAGGGAGGGAGGCTGGGCGTTGGGGGAGGGACAGGCTCAGGTGGCCGTGTAGGACAGACTTGCCCCTGCCTTCTGAGGCCGTTCAGCTTCACAGGAGCAGACTGCCTCCTCGTTTCCTCAGGAGTGGCTGCTGGGTTTGAACTGCCGATCTTGTGGTTAGCAACCCAGTGTGTATTCTATAGCGCCACCAGGGCTGTTTACACAACAGACAGCCGGTTCCCAGATGGCACTGTTCCTTCCACCCCCGCCCGGTATAGGTGTCTGGGTTTACGTGTGTGCGCGTGCACGCAGCAGACCCTGGTGCCCCAGGTGGTCTTGCACACAGCTCCCTGGCTCCTCATCTCCTCACCCCTATCACTGAGGGGAGACGTGTGCTCAGCCTGCTGTTGTGGGGGGGCCAGGGGAATCTGGTGTGGGTGGCTGGCGGATGCCTAACCAGGAGGTTTCTTGGGGCAGGAGCGGGGGCAGCACAGACAGTGAGGAGGAAGAGGAGGAGGAAGAAGATGACGACGAGGAGGAAGAGGATGGCGAGGGCCACATGGCCAGGGGAGGAGCTGGCTCCCCCTCCTACCTGAGCCCTGGCACCCAGCCAGTGGTAGCAGCACCTCTGGGTGAGTGGAGTGGGGTGAGGGGGTGGGACCAAGTCTCCCCCCATCCCAGCACCCTGCTCAGTGCTCTCACACTCCTCCCACCAGGCCCTGAGTGGACGGCTACCTTTGACCCAGTGCCTAATGAAGCCCCCACAGGTCCCCACATCTCCAGGGACGAGGAGCCCACGGCGCCCCAGGGGTCTCCCGATGGCCCCCAGGGCCCACCCTCCCCTAGTCTGGCTTTCTTTCCGGCCAGCGATGCCATGCAGCTTAGGTGAGTATTGGGGAGGAGCTGTGGGTGAGGGGCAGCATTCTGCTGAGATTGAGGCCTCACCCCAAGCCACCCACCTGCCTCCCACTAGGTCTAAGGACCCTGTACCCCCCTCAGCACCTCAGGAAGCTTCTGCTGATGTTTGTGCCGCAGGGCCTGCGGGTGAGAACCGTCCCCCCTCGCACACATCCCTCCCTACCACCCACCATCCGGGTCTCCTGGCCTGCTGTCCCCACCTCACATCCTATCTGGGCAGCTCAGTGTTTACTCCTCCCCACCTACCATAGCCCCCTGCCAGGCCCTGGTCAGTGTTGGGGACCTCCAGGCCATGCTCAGCGGGATGCACAGCGCCCCCAGCTCCTCAGACAGGTGCGTCTCCCTGCCCCCACTTCCTGTTGCTGTTCATTCCTCAGGTGCCGGGCGGGGAGAGGGGCTCGTCTGCGACTGGGTGCTACTTGGTGGTCACCCTGCACCAGGGGCCTTCATCTTAACTTCTTCCTGTCCCCTAGTGCAACCAGAGACTCCTCTACCTCTGTCCCTGCCACTGGGGCCGAGCAGACCACCGAGACCACCAAGGGGGAGGAGAATCCAGAGCTCTCGGGACTGCTCCAAAGCCAGAGGTGAGCCGCAGGGCAGCCAGCGGGGCAGGTGGGGGCTCGAGGGTCCTGAGGTGACCCTGATGTCCCTCTCCTAACAGTGCCCAGGCCCTCCAGCCGCCTCCGATGCCCAATGGTTCAGCCCAGAGTGGGCCTGAGGCCTCAGGTTCCCAGTGAGTACAGCTGGGACCCTGGGGGGGCGGCTGTGGGAGTGGGGCCGAGTCCCCAGTGTCTGGCTGTGCAGGGCTGGTTAGACATCCTGGCATCTCGGTTGCAGGTGAGGATTCGGTCCTGGCGGCAGCTGCGGCCACAACACCCATGCTCCCGTGGACCCTGCCTGGGTGGGGGCAGGGCTGGGTCCTGAGCCCCCACCAACCTCTGTGTGGGCTCCCAGGAGCTGGTGCCCGTGGGAGACCGCCCACCCCGCCCCCGTTTGCACTGAGAAATGATGGAGCTCTGCCTCCTGGAATAAAGCTAGAGCGTTAACTCGGAGAGCGAGGCGTGGGCTCTGCACCGCCTGGCCTGTCGTCTGTCTACCTGCCGCGGGCGGCCCCAAAGCACAAGCTCCCCCTTCCTGCCCGACCCGGCCGGCCGGCCGGCCAGCCAGTGACCCTGCCCCTGGGTTGAAGCCTGAGCTCAGGGCCTCATGAGCGGGGGCGTGCGGGGGAGGGCCCCCACAGTCTGCAGGAATGGGGCTGGGGGCCCAGACACACCACCAATGTCCCATCACTCCCTCTCCGGCCCCCAGTGGGCTTCCCCCATCCCGAGTGTCAGGGGCTCTGGCCCCAGCAGCCAAGTGACCTTGTCCCCACGCCCTGTCCCCGAGCGAGCTGCGTGAGTGGTGCGTGTCTGTTGGAGCTTTATTTCGTATTGCAAATACAATAAAGGAAACGGTGATGACCACTGGTGCTGCCAGCTGCATGGGGGGTGGGGGCCCAGAGCAAAAAGGGATTTCCCTCCGTAGGGACTCAAGTCCCAGCCCTAAGACTCCACAGCAGGGAAAGCACCTCAAGCTCCTGCCCTCTCGGGTCACATGGGTTGAACTCAAGGGCTGTACAAGCGGGACCAGAGAAGACAGTCGTACTGCCAGGGGTCAGGGTGGAAACCGGTCACACTCACACTCCTGAGACAAGCTCTGCCTTCACCAGCTTCATCTGTTCAAGGCCACTCTTTATCCACACCTTCCACGTGTACTTGTAGGGGACCAAGGGGCCTGAGGGCTGTGGACTGGGCCAGCTCTAGGACTTCCAGGCTGTGGTCATGTCCCCTAGTCTCCAGTGGGAACATGTCCCCACCCCCTTCTGGTGGGCTGGGAACCAGACAGCTGGGGGCTTGTACCCCACAGCCCTCAAAAGGAGGAAGAAGCCAGACCCTGGGGTCCTAGTGGGCATGTTATCAGCTGGTGCCAGGCGTGGCTGTCTCTGGAATGGGGGTGACATCTCCAGAGACCTGTTATCAGCCCCGGAGTCCACAGGACGCTTCTCTGGGTTAAAGTGTAACCATGCGCCTCCCTCCCTTTCACCCCTCAAAGCCATCAGCCCCAGGCAGAGGTGACTGGGTGACGGACCAGCATGGATGCCAGGGGAAGGGGGCCACCCCGAGAGCCTGGCCAAGTGAGCGCCCCTATGGGAGGTGGGAGGTGGAGGGGCTTTTGATTGAAGGGGCTGGAAGCCTTGTGACAGCAGAGGGTGGGCTAGAGCCCCCTTACCTGGGTACAGGGACCAAGGGGGCTGGAGTGGTGGGTCCTGGCATGCAGAACGGGCTGAGCCTTCCTGAGGTCGGGGGGTTCTGGAGCCCAGCAGCCCTTCCCTGTTCCCTGCCCCCCTCCCCAAGGTCCTGAATGTGGCCAAGTTCCTCAGCCCCTTCTTCCTCACCTGCATGGTCTACTTTCTCCTCTGGATCCCCGAGGACCCGCCGTCCCCGCTGGGCGCCCTGGTCAAATGCCTGCCAGTGCTCAGCCTAGCTGCAGGTCTGTGGGCCAGAGCCCCGAGCGGGTGCTACACCACCCTCCTCCAGGGGGGCCTGCTGTGCTCAGCTGTGGGGGACGTCTGCCTCATCTGGCCTGAAGCCTTCCTGCACGGTGAGCGGGACCCCTCTCAGGGACCTAACTTAAGACACCCCACCCCACTGAGCAGCGGGCTGCTGACAGAAAGCTCGCCTTGAACCCACCAGTCGCTCCTTGGGAGAAAGATGAGGCTGTTTGCCTCAGGAAAGACGTGCAACCTGGGAAACCCTGTGGGGCAATTCCACCCTGTCCTGAGTCACTGGGAGTCAGAATCCACGTGACAGCAGTGGATTTGGTGTCTTTTATGTTTAAGGAGTCCTAGTGGCTTGGAAGGAGTCCTGTGAGGTGCTGTGGGTTAAGGCGCTCTACTGCAAAGTCGATTTCAACCACAAAGTTGGCTGTTCAAGCTTACCAGCTGCTCCTCAGAAACAGGGTCACTATGGGTCAAAACCGACTTGACAGCAGTAACGTCTTTGAACCCTATGCTGGGTCGCTCTGAGTCGGAACCGACTGGACGGCACTTAGCAACAAGGGCGTGGCTGAGTGCTCAGCTGCTAATTGCAGATCAGCAGTTCGAACCCACCAGCCACTCCATTTGAGACCATGGCAGTCTGCTTCCGTCAAGATGACAGCCTTGTGAACCCTATGGCCCTCTCGGGTCACTGTGAGTCGGAACCCACTCTTTGGAGTTGGATTACAGAGAAGTTGAGTGTTACTAAGATTATGAACCAAATTTGGGGGAGGCTTCTTGGCAGAGCTGTGTGGTGGGCAGTCAGGCCGGAGGACGCTCAGAGGTGCTGAGTGGCTTGGAAGAAACCTTGATGGTGCAACAATTAAGCATTTGGCTGCTAGCGGAGAGGTCGGCAGTTCAAACCCACCCACAGCCCTGCAGCATGAACACCTACTCTAATTATGATGGCTTCCTCAGCTTGCCCTATCTAATGGTCACAAGTACAAGGCATCCCACAGTTCAGTGAGATTTGGGGGGCCAGTTTTGAGACTGAAAGCTAAGGAAAGCAGGAGTCAGAAGACCTGAGCGGAAGGGGATCAGAGCAAGGAGAGGGGCCTTCCTAAGACTAGAGCCGTTGGAAACTCTAGGGGGCGCTGCTGCTGTGTCCCTGGGGGTCAGCATGAGACAAAAAACTCAGCGGCACACCACAATGGCCGTGGAGAAGACTAAAGGTCGATCCGGGGTGGGGTTGGTGTACAGACCTCAACATGATGGTCAGGAATGGTCTTGATAAAGAAGGCAGCATCTGGGCAAAGTCCCCAAGGAGTGGAGGAAGCCAGGTGAGGACACATCTGTGGGTGGGACTTCCAGGCCCAGGGATTAGCTGTAGGTAGGCCCAAGGTAGATGAGGACCTGCTAAGTCTATACAGAGTCAGGAGCAGGGGGTGTGGGCCATGCCTGCCACTCAGTGAAGCCAGTCGTGGGAGCTGGTGGAAAGTTGTGAGCAGGGACAGGACACAATTAGGTGGACGTTTTAAGATCCACCCCCAACCTGGAGGTTTCTCAATAACCCACCCGGTAGCTCCACGGGAAAGAAGACACCCTGGAAATCAGCTCCCATCAAGATTTTTAAAAAAACAAACACAAATCCCACTGCCATTGGGTGGAATCCAAGTCATAACTGTCCTATGGAGTGTTTCCCAGACAGTAAATCTTCACCGCAGCAGACAGCTGAATCGTTCTCCCTCGGGGCAGTTGGTGGGTTTGAATCACCGACCTTGAGGTTAACATCCCAGCACCTAACCCACAGTGCCACCAAGGTGCCTTTTGTTAAGACGACAACCAATGGAGGCACACGGGGTCGCCTCGAGTTGGAATTGACTGCAGTGTTGTGCTGTGTTGAGAAATGATACTGTGGTCCCGAACAAGATGATGGTGGTGGGGGCACAGGGTGGGGACAGGATGGCTGAGGGGCCATCGGGAGGACTTCGGACCACCACCCTCACTGGGCGCCCACTCTCCACTCGCAGGCATGGCTGCCTTTGCTGTAGCCCACCTCCTCTATCTCGCCGCCTTTGGCTTCTCCCCGCTGCGGCTGGCCACCCTGCTGCCCATCACCCTGGTCAGCAGCCTGTACTTCAGCCTTCTGCTGCCTCACCTGCCCGCCGACATGACCCTGCCTGTGGCGGTCTATGCCTTCCTGCTGGCTGCCGTACTGTGGCGAGGCCTGGCCAGGGGCGGCAGTGCCCGCCTGGGGGGCCTGCTCTTCATCATCTCCGATGCCGTGCTGGCCTGGGATACCTTTGCCCAGCCCCTGCCCCATTCCCGCCTGGTGGTCATGACCACCTACTACGCCGCCCAGGTCTGCTTTGCTGTGTCGGCTATCTGCAGCCCGAGGCACAAAACCAGCTGACCAGGGGGCTTGGTAGGTTGGTATCCACTCCCCTCCCCTGCTGCCATGGGATGCTCAGGCCTCCCAGACCTCCCTCCCTACAGGAGTCCCACGGAGTATGCCCCGGGACTCTGGATGATGAGCACCGTTTGCAGAATTTACACTGAGCCAAGGAGTTCCACAGTCTGCCTCCCCTGACTAGTCTGTTTTGACCCTGCTTGAGTAAAGTGGGCGTTGAAATGGTGATGTCTCATTATTTGGGGTAGGGTAGGTATCACAGTGAATGGTAACAAATGTTTATTGAGTGACGAATGTGACCTAGACTCCGAGAGACCTTATAGGACAGAATTGAGCCACCCCGTGGTGTTTCCAAGGTGGTTAGTCTTTATGGAAGCCGCCTGCCTCATCTTTTGACACTTGTAACAAGCGTTATATTTTTCACATTAAGGCAAGATCTTTAGCCTTCTTGATAAATGTACCTTTCCATTTGTTAATTCCTCCCAGCTCAAACTCATCAGCAAGCTGAACTCATTCATCTGGTATCATCTAACAAAATTTGTAGTTGCTGTTGTCAAGTTGGTTCCAACTCATAGTGACGCTTCATAGGGTTTCTGAGAGGTGGCTGGTAGGTTTGAACCCCCGACCTTACCGTTAGCAGTCCAGTGGTATATCCTACAGTGCCACACCAGGACCCTAGCTATAATTTCAGAGCGTCAAAAGTAATGAAAAGTTTGTTTATAAGTGCCATGGAGTCTATTCCAACTCATAGTGACCCTGTGTAGGGTGGGCAACTGGTGAGTTTGAACTGCTGACCTTGTGCTTCGGAGTCCAGTGCTGATCCTACAGCAATACACCACCAGCCTCTCCTCGGAAACCCTTTACAGGGTTGCTATGGGTCAGAACCGACTCTGCAACACGTACATACAACAATAGTAACACAGGAGTCCTGGTGTGACGCTGTGGGATAAAACACAAGGTCAGTGGTTCAAACCCACTGGCTACTCCTTGGAAACCCTATACAGGGTCGCTACGATTTGGAACCGACTCCACGCACTTAACAACAACAGACGTCGTGAGGGATGCCTGGTGGAGCACTCTGTTGGCGCTCCATGTGTTATAGAATAGAAACGTGGTGACAAGCAGAGCCTCAGCCCCTGCGACTGGTTGTGAATTATCTTCAGCAACATTTTACTTGTGTGCCATAGTCATGATTGGTGTTGTTGTGAAGTGCCGTCGAGTGGGTTCACACTCACGGTGACCCGGTGTAGAGTTTCCAAGGATAGTCATGATAGTGTTTGATGATTTCTGCATTCCGTGGGGTCACCTCTTTTTGGAAAGTTGTGCATAGATGAGTGAACACCTCCAGCGCTGCATCCGTTGGTTGAAACATTTCAGTTGATATTGTATCCGTTCCCTGAGCCTTGTTTTTCCATGGAAGCAGAGCAGCTTCTGGGTTCAAACTGCCAATCTTTTGGTTAGCAGCCTCTTAACCCACTGTGCCACCAGAACTGGCAGTAACCCTGTATGGACAGAACAGAGCCGCCTTCATAGTTTCCAAGGGCATACTGTGGTGCTGTAGGATAAGCACTGGACTGCTAACCATGAGGTCGGCACTTCAAACCCACCAACTGCTCCTAGGAAACCCTTTACAGGGTCGCTATTATTCAGAACTGACTCGGCACTTCACAACGACAACCATCTTTACAATGGGGCAGATGGCAGGTCTTTCTCCTACAGAGCTGTTAAGTGGCTTTGAACCACCAACCTTCCAGTTAACAACGAGTGCTTAACCACTTCACCACCAGGATTGTTTCTGGGAAGAATAAGATGCGCTATTACCCACCACTCAGGAGTTTAACCTTTGCACCACCAACCGAAAGGTCAAAACCCTACTGTCGTTGAGTCCCTTCTAACTCACAGCAGCCCTGTGGGGCAGTGTGCACCTGCTGCACAGGGCTCCCGAGGCTCAGCCTTCACGGAAGCAGACAGCCACAGCCTTTTCCCCAGGAGCTGCTGGTGGGTTCGAACTGCTGACCTTGCAGTTAGCAGCCCAACACTTAACCTACTGCACAACCACAGGGTTGCTTTGAGCCTCAGTCAACTCAACAGTAATGGAGTTTTGCAGGGACACATCTTACATAACTCTGCTCCGGGTCCTATGATGTGTATGGTCTTAACCTCCAGGTTACAGGGGAGAGGTTTAAGGAGGACTAGTCACATCCCATTGGGAGATGAGGGCTCAGGAGGGGAGTCCATGCAAAGGTGAAGAGTGGGGAGTGGGGAGGGGGGAACACAGGACAGTTGGGCTCCAGGACTGTGCCCTCAGGAAGCTGCTTCTCTCTCTCAGCCTCAGACTCCACGTCTGTAGATCTACGGTCAAGATCCTTGCTCCAAAGCCCTATTTGGCTTCTATAGCCCATGATGTGCATTTAGGGGCTCTTATAGCAAAGTTCTGGTAGCATAGTAGTTACGAGTCGGGCTGCCAACCTCAAGGTCAGCAGTTCCGTAGGAGAAAGATGAGGCTTTCTGCTCCCGTAAAGATTTAGAGCCTTGGAAACCCTGTACAGGGTCACTATGGGTCAGAACTAACTCCATGGTACTTAACAACATAACACAGGGTCACTATGGGTCAGAAATGACTCGACTGCACCTCACAACAACAGCAAAGAGGAGGTCTCTACATTCCATAATGTGCATATAGAGACTCAAACAGAGCTGGTAACTAAAAGGTGGGAGGTTCAAATCCACCCAGAGGTCCCTTGGAAAAAGGTCTGGTGATCTACTTTTGAAAGGTCACAGGCATAGAAAATTCTGTGGGGCACAGATCTCCTCCACCTCATGGGGCCGCTATGAGACGGAATTGACTTGATGGCAACTGAAAAAGACAAAAACAAAAGAGAGAGGAGACCTCCACGTTCCACAATGTGCACTTAGGGACTCTTACAGCAGTGAGGAGACAAGAGCACAGAGCACTCCTGCATGGGAGGTACAGACATAGAAGGAAAAGTAAAGGAGGTGCGAGGAGGAGGGTGAGGCAGGATGCTGGGTCGGAACCTCCTGGGGAAGGGTCTTGGCAGGAGGTGAGGATGACATCTGAAGGCAGAAACCGTTGATTCTCACACACTTTCTCCACCTCTCCTCCACTGCCTCAGACCTCACAAAGAGGCTGGGAAATGACTGCACCAGAATGACTTTCAGCTGAGGAAGGTTGGAGCTGTGTGTGGGTTCCAGGGCTCTGTGGGGCCCGGAGATGTGAATGGGGCGTTGGTCAGTCAAGGGTCCTGGGGGTGCCTGCTGCTGCTG